TGTGAGTGCAACATGGTGAGTGTGGAGGTGTGAACACGGCAGAGTGAGTGCAGTGTGAATGCAAAGGCACGCATGTCGAGTTGTGAGTGCAACATGGTGAGTGTGGAGGTGTGATGCAAAGGCATGCATGTCGAGGTGTGAGTGCAACATGGTGAGTGTGGAAGTGTGAACATGGCAAAAGGAGGGCAGAGTGTGAATGCAGAGGCATGCATGGAAGTGTGGCTGCAGTGGGATGAGTGTGGTGGTGTGAGCTCACCCCACACCTGCTTGGGGCTTCCCAGCTAGTAAGGTGCAGCAGGAAATGATGGCATAAGCACGCAGTGGATAGGGATGTGAGATATGAAAAAGAACCCACACGGCAAGGGGAAGGTGGTGGAGGAGGTACCCATGTCTTAGAAAAGGCCTGGAAGGCCTCTTGGAGGAGGTGACATTTGCGGACAGAAAGGAGGCAAGGGAGGGAGCCATGCAGGAGGTGTGGCCGGGGAGGCAGAGGCCCTGAGGTGGGTGCAGGAGGTGGGTGTGGAGTGAGGAGAGGTCCCGGGGAGAACAGTAGCTGGCCAGCTGCTGGCCTGAGTAGATGAGGAGAGGTCTCAGGAGTCAGCAGACTGCTGTAGGAGTGTCACAGTGCAGTGGGGATCAGAAAGGGGACCAGCAGGGCCTGAGGGGCTTCAGAGGGCTCCTTTGAGGAAAAGGAGGAGCACCAAGTTGTGAAGAACGACGCTTGTCCAGGTGGGCCCTAGGGGAACCTGGGGACCCTGGACATGCATTCCTGAGCCCCTGTCTTCTGCAGAGATTGCCATCTGCCCCAACAACCATGAGGTGCACATCTACGAGAAGAGCGGGGCCAAGTGGGTCAAGGTGCATGAGCTCAAGGAACACAACGGGCAGGTGACAGGTGGGTCGGCAGGTGGGGACCGAGGGCCAGGGCAGGGCCGGCCGGGCCAGCAGCCATCAACCCACTCACTGTATTAGGTCGGATGGTTTGGGTTGCAAGTAATACAACCCTGAATCCAACTGGCTTCAGTTACATACAACAGGAATAGTTGGTTCAGGAGACGAGTCTTGGGGATGTGTGGGTCTCCAAGGAGAGGTTTGATCTGGACCTCAGCACTACTGAGGACCCATCCTTTTCTATCTCTTGGCTTTGCCTTCCAGCATGTGGGGTGATGGCTTGGGAGAGCTTTCACACCTAATAAACTCAAGTAGCATGCCCTGGAGCCCTGGGGGCACAATGCTTAAGTGTTGGGCTATTAACTGAAAGGTCAGCGGTTCAAACTCACCAGCCGTGCTGCAGGAATAAGATGAGGCAGTCTGCTTCTGTAAAGATTACAGGCTTGGCAACCCTATGGTGTGGTTCCGCTCTGTCCTAGAGGGTTGCTAAGAGTCAGAATTGACGTGCCAGCTATGGGTTTGGTTTTGTTTTCAGCAACCCCTAGAGTCACCCCAATAAACATGGAATCTAAGTTTAAAAAAAAAAAAAGCGCTAGCTCTGCCGACTTTGGCCTGTAAGCCCCTCCTCCATGGTCACCGTAGGGCTGCCACCGCCTGGGTGGCTTCAGACTGGTGTGCCTCCCCCTCCCCACAGGCATTGACTGGGCCCCTGAGAGCAACCGCATCGTGACCTGCGGCACTGACCGCAATGCCTACGTGTGGACGCTGAAGGGTCACGTCTGGAAACCCACGCTCGTCATCCTGAGGATCAACCGGGCTGCACGCTGTGTGCGCTGGGCCCCCCAGGAGAATAAGTTTGCTGTGGGCAGTGGCTCCCGGGTCATCTCCATCTGCTACTTCGAGCAGGAAAATGACTGGTGGGTGCCTGGGCCGGGCTGGGCCGGGCTGGGAGGGACCCAGGCTGGCTCAGCCCAGCACCGTAGACCCAGACAGGGAGGGACCAGAACGGCCCCAGAGAGCTCTGGTGCTTTCAGACCCGTCACATGCTCCCAAGGAGGCCTGTCCTCTCTGGGCCGTGCAGGTGAACTGAGGGACCTCTCGGCACAGTCCCTGGGGGCCCCACACCAGGGGTGCCTCTACAGGGCATCTACATCAGACCCCACAGCCCTGTGCACCGGGCTCATCTTTGTCCCCACTTTACAGATGTGTAAACTAAGGCCGAAGCAGAGTCACTGTCCAAGGTGCCAACCGTCTGACTCTAGGGGCCCCTGCACAAGCTCCCAGCTGCTCAAAATCTCCTCCCCTGTGTCCCTGAGGGCAGAGACCAGCAACATGAGTCTGAGAGACCTGAGTTCAGATCCAGCATGGCTAGTTAGTGGTAGTGTGACCTAGTCAGTGGTGACTTCTTTTGCTGAGTTGTCCTGAGGCAAGCCTGTCAGAGTAGAACTGTGCTCCAGGGGTGTCCAGTGACTGTCGGAAGTAGATTGCCAGGCCTTTCTTCCAAAGCAGCTCTGGGTGGATATGAACCTGCAGCCTTTCAGTCAGTAGCCAAGTGCATTAACCACTTGCACCACCGTAGGACTCTAGGGAGACAGAGTAGTTTCCTCCCTACAAGAGGGACCCAGTACACAGGGGCCTGAACCAGGGCTAGGAGTGCGAGGCTCCTCCCCCACAGGACGTGGATGGCCTGCAGGGCCTCTAGAAGCCGAGGGGCCCTGGGGTATTGAGGCTCACGGCTGTCCTCCTGTGTGCCCCCCATCTCCAGGTGGGTGTGCAAGCACATCAAGAAGCCGATCCGCTCCACCATCCTCAGCCTGGACTGGCACCCCAACAACGTGCTCCTGGCTGCTGGCTCCTGTGACTTCAAGTGCCGGTGAGGCTGGGCAGCCACCAAGCAGGGTGGGATGCTGGCATCAACACGGGAGCGCGGGCTGGTGGGCGGAGGGAGAGCCCTATCCTGGGAGCCCCACGTCCTACCTTGCAGAGCAGCCCTGCTGCAGGGTGACTGGCATCTCCATCCAGCATCCTGTGAGCTTCTCTGTGGGAAAGACCATCCTTGTGTCCTGTTTCCAGTCCACTGGTAGAGTCTCAGCAGGACACGCCCCTTTGTCACATCTTGCACCATCAGAAAGTTTCCTTCTCAGGCTCTCTTCTCCTGCCTCCTTAGAATCCCTACCCCTTCAGTTTTCTGTCTGAAGGGAAATGAATGGGTGTGCTATTTCATACTGAAGTGTGAATGGCTTCTCATTGGAATGTAGTATCTCCAGATGCCTTTTAACTGTTACTCACCTGGGCCTGGCACCCCCATAAATGTCCCTCACCCATCAAACCCCAAGGCCTAAGGCTCCCAGCTACAGGCACATCCCCCCTGGGTCTCTGGATCTCCACCTGGGAAATGGGGCTGCAGCTGGCACCAGCAGCCCCCTCATAGGCCCTTGGGCACAGAGAGCATAGTGACCCCTTGGGGCTTTGCTGGTGCATGGGGGCTGGTTTGTTGGCTCCCTGCTCTGCCAGGTGATCCGGTACTGGTTAGGGGAGTACAACCAGAAACTAAGCAGACTGCCATCGAGTTGATTCCATCTCATCACAACCCTTCAGAACAGAACAGAACTGCCCCAAGGCTTTTCCAAGGCTGTAAACCTTCATGGCAGGAAACTGCCTCAGTTTTTTCTCCCACAGGGTGGCTGGTAGGTTTGAACTGCAGACCTTTTGGTCAGCAGCCCAGTGCCACCAGAACTCCTTTTTGGGGGAGTGCAGAGGATATATGTCAGAGTGAGGGGTGCAGCAGGTAGGGCTGGCAGGGCCAGGCAGGACTGGTTCACGGTGCAGAGCTAGAGGGAGAAGGGGCATCCAAGAGGCTTGCTACGGAAGGCAATGGCCAGCGTGACGGGGACCTGGCACTGCCCGGGGGCTGCGCCAGCTGTCAGTACTCAGCTCTCAGGTGAGGACTCTGAGCTGCAAGGCCTCCAAGCCCAGACTCTTGCACAAAGGAGACACTGAAGCCCAGAGCTGTCCAAGCACTAACACAGGTCATGGCAGCACCAGGTCTGCAACCCCTAACTCCTGGAGCAGTGCTCTGTGGCTGCCTCACCAGGCCAGTCTGGGAAGGGGGTCCCCTTCTCAGGCCTCTTACTCACCTCCTCTTTCACTGCTCCTGACAGGATCTTCTCAGCCTACATCAAGGAAGTGGAGGAGCGCCCAGCACCCACGCCGTGGGGCTCCAAGATGCCCTTTGGGGAGCTGATGTTTGAGTCCAGTAGTAGCTGTGGTTGGGTGCATGGCGTCTGCTTCTCGGCCAGCGGGAACCGTGTGGCCTGGGTCAGCCACGACAGCACTGTGTGCCTGGCTAATGCTGACAAGAAGATGACGTGAGTAGAGGCCACCCAGGTTGGTGGGGGGAGTGGGGGTGCCAAGACAGTGTGGGAGGAGGGGCAGAGTGTGGCTGACCTCTTTCCCCCAATCAGCGTCGCCACCCTGGCTTCTGAGACACTGCCGCTGCTGGCCGTCACCTTCATCACAGAAAACAGTCTGGTGGCAGCGGTAAGGATGAGGAGGGAGGGGCAGTGGCTGGTTAGAGCAGGTTTCCCTGCAAGCGCAACAGATGGTCATGCAATCTTCCCTCTCCTTTCTCTCAAACCATCCACCCACCCACCCATGAGTCCACCCATCTGTCTGTATCTGTATTGGTCAGGATAGGTTGGCTTTGCTGCAGTAACCACCACCCTCAGTCTCAATGGTTTAACACAGTAAGGATTTGTAACTTGCTCACATTGTATGTCCAATTGTGGGGGTGGTGGGGGGACTGTCTTCATGTGCCCCCAAACTGCCATGGCAGGGCAGTGTAGACACATACCCTGGACCCTAACGTTTCTCCTTACACTGAATACAAGAGTGGTCGCCTGACTCCGGGTGGGGGTGGGGAGGGCCTGGAAGTTCTGCATGGGCATCACCAATGCTTGCCCAACTATCTGCCGAGTCCATTTTCACCTGTCGTCAAACATAGGGGTGTCACTTTCTGCCTAAGGAGCGTCCACCTGACGGTCTCTCCTAGAACAGGTGGAACCAGGTGGGCAGGACACGAAGGCACGAAGGGCAATCCCAAACAAACTTCCCTGCTTCGTCAACTAGATGCTGGTCTTGGGGGAGGGGGGAGCCCCTAGATGCAGGCTTTGGGGCACCCCTCGACATCTGGGCCCTCTACACCTGGGGTCGGGGCTCTCCTCTGCGGCCTGCCCGTCGGTGCCCCTGAGCCTCCCGTTGCCCTGCCGCAGTCCCGCATTCGTCCCCTGGGCGCCGTGCCCCCTCCGGCCTCTGCCTCTGGATGCGGAGACTGGGGACGTTGCGCCTGCGCTCCAACGGCACGCCCGCCCCGCCGCAGGGCCACGACTGCTTCCCGGTGCTGTTCAGCTACGATGGCGCCGCGGGGACGCTGAGCTTCGGCGGCCGGCTGGACGTGCCCAAGCAGAGCTCGCAGCGCGGCATGACGGCCCGCGAGCGCTTTCAGAACCTGGACAAGAAGGCGAGCTCCGAGGGCGGTGCGGCCTCGGGCGCCGGACTGGACTCGCTACACAAGAACAGCGTCAGGTAAGGGTAAGGGCGGGGCCTGCGGAGCGGGCGGGGCCTAAGATGGCGGAACACCCCTGGGGGCGGGGACCCCACCTGGGAGCCTGACTGAGCTCAGTAGGTTACATAGAAGTTGCCTGCCTCTGGGAGTAGCGGTTCAGCCTCGCTCAGCATTTTAAGAGACCACCGTGCAGGATGTCGTCGGGGTGGAAGGTTCTCTGGAGTGGGTAGTGCCCAGCAGGTTCCCCGTGGGCGGGTCATGGCGGGGGCTGGGGAGGCTTGGAGCTAGAATCTCGCGAGGAGAGGCGGTGCTGCAGCCTTGTGAGGATCCCAGGTGGGGCAGGGGTCCACCTGGCTGCCAACCAGAGAAAGGAGTACCTTCTGCAGACTAAAGTTCGGACACCCAGCTGGACTTCAAGGCTCTTGAGAACAGCACCTGCACCCTCCGAGGCCCATGGTCTGCTTTTTTGTCCATCTAGCTACACACTATTACTGCAGTCCTCGAACACATTCCTCTTTGGCGTTCCAGCCCAGGCCCTTGTGACCCCTCTTACTCCCTGCAGTGCTTTTGCACACCACTGCTCACCCCAAGAGCCTTCTAAAGCCCACCCTGCGGCCTTGCTAGCCCACCTTCTAGGCTTGGCCGGCTGTCCCTGGTGGGGTACTCTCACTGGGGGCTCCCAAAGGGCAGAAAGGGCTGGAGTCAGCAGCAGGCACAGGCCAGGATAGGTGAACCTCTCTCTGTCCTCTTTGCAGCCAGATCTCGGTGATCAGCGGGGGAAAGGCCAAGTGCACGCAGTTTTGCACTACAGGCATGGACGGTGGCATGAGCATCTGGGATGTGAAGGTGAGGCTGTGTTAGGCTCCCCACAGGTCCTCAGGGTCCACCTTGGGTGTCCATGCTTTTACTCAGGAGTGGGCTATGCAGGCACTGGGTTCAAGGCCTGCCTTTACTACTGATTTGCTAAGTGGCCCTGGTGCCCTTGGGGGCACCTCCTCTTAGGGCTGGGAGGCAAAGCCAGGCCCAAGTTCTCTGTCCTCTGCCAAGATGGGGTAGGTGTGGGCCAGGGCCAGGACTCTGGGGGTGGGGTACCTACAGCATAGCTCAGAACCACCCTGTCTGCTCGTCTCCCTCCAGAGCTTGGAGTCAGCCTTGAAGGACCTCAAGATCAAATGACCTGTGAGGAGTAATGCTACCCTCCTCCCAGCAGCTGGGGAGAGGCCGTGAGGCTAAAAGTGGCTTTGCCGAGTCCCAGGGAGACAGCACCCGGCCCCAGGGGGGCCGGTCTTACTATGAATCTAAGAAACGTGCCTTTTTCCTAGAGAAATGCTTCCATTTGTTGTAAAAACGCACCCAAAGCACTCTGCTGGTCATGAACTGCTTCAGAACATGGAGGTAATAAACAACTGTGGGCAGGTTGCCTGTGTTTGGAGGGAAGGGTTGGTTTTTCTGCATGGGCACAGGCAGCTGATTTTTGCTGCTCGCCAACAAAACTGATCAAGCCCAAGGGCTACAAATAGTCTTCCAAGGGTAACAAGTGAGGTCGTGGCTCAGACACCATCAGCTACCGGGATGCTCACTCCCAGCATCAAGTCCCGAGGTGGTTCCTATGGGAGAGTCTCACCTGAGCCCCCAGAGGGAGGCCTGCTGTGACCCCAGTTGCCTACTTGGGGAAGGCAGGGAGAGGCTGGCTCTGGTACCCTGAGGTATCTCCCCACACTCCTCTCAGTGTCACCAGAACCTTGTCAGGCAGGCTGTCTGAGAGCGATGCTATGCCCTGCTAGGTGACAATGGCCCAGGCACAAGAGGATTCAAAGATGATCATGAGACAAGGATTATGATAATGTCAAGTTTAATCTGCCAAATATACAAGTTGAATTTGTAGAGCGTGTTCTGCCTGGGTGCCGCACAGTAAACAGGTTTCTTGAAATGACTGATGGTTAGGGTTAAAAACGGGCCCTGGCCAGCTGGGTGGGAAGGGGCAGGGAAGGGCAGAGGAAAGGCCTCAGTCAGGGGCTGGCAAGAGGCAAGCTGGGACTTCAGGGACCCAGGGCATGGGCTCCCAGAAGGCAGCCCCTCTCATGAGCTAGCACCCAGGCAACAGACTGGGGCTGGTTGTCACAAACTGAGCAGCAGCTACCCTGGGCACAAACTCCCTCTACTGTGCAATCCACCAGACAAACAACGGAAGTTCTCCTTACCCCATCTCCCAGGTACCCCCCCCCAAGGGTTCTGAATTCCAAAAACAGCAAACATTCAAATGGTTACATATGAAATGCTTTCCCGAATCTTTCCCTCTCGGAAGATAGCAGCTGCTCCCTCCCCCAAGACCCCCCACCCACCATCCCCCAAACGATTTCTGTGCCAAGATGAAAAGGAGGCCCCGGGGGGGAGGGGGGGCTCCTAGCCGTGAGGGGCTGCTGCAGCGGCGCCAGGGCACAGGGCAGGCCGCACGCAGATGTCCTGGCGATGGGGCCCGGTCCCCACTTCTCCTCTCCCCCATGGCCACTTTACTTGTTCAGGGAGAGCGACTGCATTCGTTTTCCTGACAGTGTCGCATCGTCTTTTGCTAAAGGGTGGGAAGAGGTGGAGTCAAGACACAAACCACCACCCCTCCACAGCGCACAAGACACACACGCACAAAACCCACAGGCTGGCCCATGGAGTCAGAGCTTTAGAATGCAAGGCCTCGCAGACCATGCTGTGCAATGACTCGGGGCAGAGGAGAGAAGACACGCATCCAGGGACACCTTCAAACCCACCTTTCCCAACACGTCTGCGGGGATGCCACTTCTTGGCAGCTGCCCCTCCCTGAAGGCCCACCGACACAATCTCTACTTTTCTCAGCCCACTTCCCAGGCAGAACCCCAGCATTCCAGCCTCTCCTGCACGTTCTGATGTCTAAACCAACACCATTCAAGTAGCTGCACGTAAAAAATCCCTTCCTGCTTGGGGCTTGTGAAGCACTGCTACCGCATGGGGAGGTACCGTAAACGGGAGGCTTCCAGAGTGGCTGACCAACCCCCTGGGCAACTGAGCTCCCGTTTCTGGGCCTCCATTTTCCCATGACCTGGTGAGGAGACAAGACAGCGTCCAAGACCTCCCAGCTTCTCCCGGGTCTGAGTGGGAGATGGAAGGGTGTGAGCTGATGGCTCCTGTAAACTAGACCAACCTGGGCCTAAAGGAAAACTGCCAATGCTGGCCCACCTGGAGGAAGCAGGGGGAACAGGGCACCTGGGCCCCTCAGCACAGCCCACCCCACATGATCCCTTGGATGGACAGTGGCGACCCCAGGCAGCTCTCAAGGCTTCACAAGGCACCAGAGACCTCAATGGAACTTTCTAGACTTAAGGTCTACACTGCGTGCATGAGCCCGAGGCCGCCTCCTGCTAGGGCAGGTGGGGGGCAGTGACCACTGATACAGTGGACAGGACTCTGCTGAGGTGCCAAACCAACTCACACTCCATCTTGCTGCGGACCCTCCCAACACCCTGACAGGGCGCCACAGGAAGGCACAACCTGGTCAGGAAATGCCACTACTCAGTCCTGGTGTGTAACGAGGACACTAAGGCTGGGTTCAGTGGCTTGCCAGGAACTGTGCCCACCAGTCAGCAGCCCCTGCCTGTGCGCCCCCCACGCAGCTGTCATTCCCACCTGTGGCCCAGGACGCACCTTTCCTCTCCTCTTCCTTCTTCCTGGCGGCCTCCTCCCGCTGCTTCCTGATGATCGCCAGCCGGGCAAGGTCGGCCTTGGCCTGCTCTGTTTTCCCAGCTAAGTGCATTTTCATGTAACGCTCTTTTGCTTTCTGCTTCTCAATTTCTTCTCTGTTTGAAAAAAATGGCGTCACAGGGAATGTCTTCCCACCATTTAGTGGAACTGGATGTGGCAGCCAAAACGAAGGCCAAGGACTCAGGCTTAGGGTCAAAGTGGGGAGGGCGCTGGGTGGGTACAGGGGCCCTGGGCCTTGTGTGCCCTCTGCTTGATGGACACTCACCAAACAAGCAGTGGAAGAGCCCCAGCTTACGCACAGAACACAGATATGACTAAGGGGAGCGGCTCAACATACACTTAACATCCCAGATGGAAAACAAGGGTGGGGAGTGAGCTCAGCATCTGTGACCTTCAGAGCCACAGCCTCAGAGAGGACCATGGCTGGCTGGGGGGATGACATTTAGGGGCTTCATGACCAGAGCCCGGTGTCCATGGTGAGAGAAGGGACCAAGAAAAGAACCATGTGTTCAGGAAAGCTGACCATGAGGACAAAAGCACGAGAAACTACATTCCATAAGGAAGAAGAAAGGAGCAGGGAGTCTCAGGCCATGGACAAGAGACACATCTAATCCCACGTGTTGACACAGCCTGTTGTCAGCCAGAGCAGCTCTGATGTGCAAGCTGCCTTCCAAGGGAGTGAGCCCTCATCAGTAGGGTTTGTGGGAACAGAAGTCAACTAGTCCAGAGCAAAGCTATAAGCAGTCAAACCACTGGGCCAAGGGAACATCCCACTTGAAAAGGCAAATGCTGGGAGACTGGGAGCCCTGCCTGACAGGAAGTTGGGGGAGACCTGGCCACACAGAGGCCACCACAAGACACAAGGCTGCATGGAACAAGAAACAAGGCACATGAGCCTGGCTGGTTAGAGAGACCACAGCCACCAGAGCATGGGATAAGCAGATGTCTCGCCTGGGATTCAGGACAAGCTGTGTGCCCAGCAGATCCACCCAGGGAGGGCAGTCCAGAGTCGGGCTGCTGAGCTGGGCCGCCAGAGCTCCAAACCCGGAGACCACAGAGCCATCTGGAACAATGACCAAAGCTGCCTGAAGGCTCTGCAAGCCCCCCAGTGAAGATGACTGCCAGACACGGTGCTGGCCTTTAGAACTATCATCCTGGAAACCCCAAAGGGTGGGCAATCAATAAGACCCCTTTTTACTGGTCAGGATCTGACACCCTGAAAGGGCACTGACTTATCCACAGTGGCACAGCTGCTAAGTGTGACAGTCTGGTATCACTAGAGCCCTTTTGCTTAGGGAAGGCCAGTACCAGCCCACACTGTTGGCATTCTGGGGGCTCAAGCCTGAGAGGGAAGCTACCGGAGGGGTAGAGGACTCCTTAGCAGCCTCCATTCGCTCCCCAAGTTTGCGGGCCCTCTCTGTGGGAATTTTTCAGACTACCCTCCATAGGGAGATGGATTTAAATCCTAGCAGTCTGGTCGGACGAGAAACTTGGTTGCTCCCACCAGCAGTCGTCAGGCCCTTAATGGCCATCAGAAGCCAGGGCACTACCTGTCAAGGACAGACTGAGTAGACACCTCAGTTTTCAGCCTCACACAACCCAAGAGGAGGAACGAGTAGCTCTAGAGGGCTGGGGCATTATAGACAGCACAGACCTGTCCCTGTAGTCATGGCAGCACAGATAGGCCAGGAATGATCAGCCCAGGTTGGAGCAGGGGTGCTCTAGAGGAAGGAACCTTCCTTAGGCTACCCACTGTGTCCCTGGGCTGGCTGCTCCAAGTGTAATGCTTACGTCTTAATCTTCTCTTTTCCCTGATACCACATTTCTACTGGTGAATTTTCAGGGGGAGTGGGGGTGGCTTTGGGGAATGAGATGAAACAAACAGCACAGTTAATGAGTTAATAACCACCACCCATCCTCTGGGGACCACAGAGCCAGGTCACAGCCCACCCAGCCAACATTACCGTTCCCTCCTCGAAAGTTCCTTCGGCCCGTCCAGGTCCAGCTGCGTGACCTTTTTGGTTGTCTGTGCCACTCGGTTGGGGTTCTCAATGTCGATGAGCCCTTCCACGCCTTTGCGCTTTTGCTAGAATTGGGCAAGATGCTGGCCGTTGGAGCAAGTTTCAGTCCTGGAGAGCCCCAGGGCCACTTCCCCACCTCCCACCATCCCACATGGATGGGAATAAACTTTCGCTCCACCCCCTACCAGACAGCATGCTGGGCCTGGGCTCCCTAGAGGGGACAGCACTCAGGAGGTGCAGGGACTGCAAGTGTGGTTTGTATAATGGGAGCCTGGCCCATGCCCAGCCATGGGGTTATAATCCCAGTTTCAGAGATGACAGAATGGAGGCTTGAGGTTAAACATCCTGCATGAAGCCGACCAGGAAATGAACAGTACATGAGAAGCGAACCTAAGCCCAACCCAGACGCTCTCAGCCCAAGGAGCTATATCCCACTTCCAAGCTCAGCCTCCCAAAGTATTTTCCATGGAACCCCATGCATGGTTTTTCCTGTCGCAAGCACATGCTGAATCCCAGGGCAAGGTGAGCCAAGGTTGTGTGTCCTCATGGCCAATTCCAGTCCCACCCATCCTGGCTGAAAGGAGGAGGGAAACACAACTTGAGAATGGGCCATCGTATTGTACAGCCCACGTGGGTTTCTGGAGAGATTCAAGAAACTAGAACCTGTACCTCTCACCTCCCCAGGCCAAGTTCAGGAAGGAGCAAGAACACAAATTCTTAACACATCATCTGATTTCAAAGTTTCAGGCCCTGGTAGTCCTCACTTTCCCGTTTAAGTGACCAGGGAGACACTTCTAAACGTCAGTCAACCTGACCACTCTACAGAAGGCTCCAGACATCTATCTCCGGCTCAACTGCGTATTTTTTCTGACCAGGCACTACAAACCAAACCCCTCACCCTGCTCTGCCCCACAATCCTAGGCACCACCCAACTCTTCTCGTTCCTGCGACCCTGAACCCAACCTCAGCAAACCCTAAAACATGGCTTGAATCTGTCCACTCATCTCCAGTGCCACTGCCACAAACCTAGGACAAGCCACCGCATCTTGTGTGGATGACTGTTCCCACCTCCCTGCTCCCACCTTTGACAACCGACCACTTGTGTCCAAAGAGGAGCCAAAATGACCTTTTAAAAGCAAATTAGCAGCCAGCAATTACTTTAAAAGAAAGATAAGAAAATAAGAGAGCAGGGAAAATAGGTTAATAAAAACAAAGCCACCAGAATGGAAAAAATGAGAATGTTCAAAAACTATGAAGAATGTATTATATTTTTATGAAAATGTTTAGGAACTGCACAACCCCCTTGTGCCTTAGTTTCCTATGCCCATTGATTACATGGGTGTATTATTTGCAAAAAAAAAAAAAAAAAAAAAACCACCACATGGAAATTGTTGAATGGAAACCTAAACTGGTAATGTAAACCTTCACTGAAAACATAAAATATTAAAAATAATAATAATAATAAATACAGCCCATCTCTCTCTCTCCACCACATCAAGGCCTCCACCAACATCCAAGAACCCAAAGTTCTCCCACTGGCCCTCAGGAGCTGCCCCTGCTGCCCTCTCTTCCCTCACTGGCATCATTTACTTGTCAACCCCTAAGCCACAGCCCTGCTGCCCCTTCCTGTTCCTTGAGCAGGCCAAGCCTGCTCCCCCTCCAGGGCCTTTGCACTTGCTAGTCTGGCTGCCTCCACTGCTCCGTAAGCCCATTTTTGCATGGCTGCTCCTTGTTTTTCAGATCTCAATGACCACCTCCTATAAGACACCCTTCTAACTACTCTCTATCACAATAGATTTTACTCATAACACTTCACTACTTGAAATTATTCTGTTCATTTATTTCTTTATTATCTATACACCCCACTGGAATGTAAACCCCTAAGAGCAACAAGGACCTTGCTGCATCTCCCAACCAGGCCCTCAAAAAATGTTCATCGAATGGAGGAGCCCAGCCCCATGGGGCTCAGTACCTGATAGTCATCTTCATCCTCCTCACTCTCATCTGAGTCTAGAGATTTCTTCTCCTTTTTGGGGTCACCCGTAGCCCCATCTCCACCCTCTTCTCCTTGTTCCTCTTCTTCCTGTTTCAGAAATGGACAACCTGCTAAATCAAAAATGCAAAGCAAACCCCCAAGACTGTGACCCCACCACCACCTTCAGACTGTGGGCCTTGAGAAATGGAGCCTCTGCAAGGCTGGAACCACATCTGACAAGAGTCCTGCTCTGTGACTCTGGCCCCCTCAGGGGGGTATGGAATAGGAATAGAGGCAGCCTATCCACTCACTCCAGGCTGCTCATAGTCCAGCAAGTCCCTCACCAGCCACGAATGGCCCTGCCCCCTGCTGGTAAGGGCAAGATCTCCTCTTCATGGCAGCAGGACTGAGCTGAGCTGCTGGAAACCAGCGTTGCTCAGCTCCCCTAACCCCCTGCTCATTCCCCCACTCCCCAAATGCATGTGCCAACTCATTCTGGGCAAGGCCAAGCCATCCTGATCTGCCTTTGTGGACGCCCTTCTGCATGGCTTCCCAAACAACACCCTGGCATGCGCCTTCCCTCCATTTTTCTTGACACCCCACAAAGTCTCTTACAGAAACCTTATGTCCTTTCCCTGGTCTGTACTGCCTCTGTTCAACTCTCCTTCCTTCCTGTCATTGCCACCTCTGAACACTTGCCTACATTCTCCTCCACGAGACCCTTTGTGGTGCTGTGAATTACTTGGTATGGCTGTTCTAGCCATGGTCTTTGTGCCTCCCACCAGATTACTGGCTGGAACTATGCAAATGTTAAGGTGTTTGTGGCCCACTAAGGGAACTGGATAGCTTGTTAGTCATGTAAATAAGGTACATGACACCCTTGTGGGGATAGGACCACAGAAATATGGTGTATGAACTCTAATGTGGGGATTGCTTAGTGATGACATTCTGCTAGGCTTAAAGTGAGCCCTCCTAGAGGCAGAAAGAGGGATGGGATCTCACTGCTATCAAAAGAGAAGAGCTGAAGTATGTCCTTGGACCTGAGAACCCTGCGCAGAGAGACAGCAGAAATGACTGGCACAAAGAGACAATAGAACCGAGAGAGTGGCATGAGACAGAGTGGTGGGGCTTGCCAGTCCATGGAGCAAGAAAGGTGAGTGCCTCTGGGCAGGAGGCTTTATGGCGGAGTGGGATGTACCTGGTGTACCTATTGGCAGAGCTAAAAGAGCTTTGTAACACCTGCCTAAGCAGAGCAGAGGCCAGGCCAAGAGGCTAAGGGCCAAAGACAGTCATGCCTGAAGGAATGGCACAGGGGATGCTGTCCTGATTAAAGAATTGTATCCAGAGTGTTTGTGAACCTGAATTGTAACCTATTTCTTCCCTAATAAACCCCATAATCATGAATATGGTCTATGAGTTCTGTGTGGCCACTGCAAAGAATTAGCGAACCCAGCAGACAAGTAGTTGAGTGTCGTGGAAGGGATGGCTGGTGTCAGAATTGGTAAGACTAGAGGGTGGCAGCATGTCTGGCCTCACAGGAATAAGCCTTGGGCTGCAAACAGCGACTCTCTCTCTCCCTTGTGAAGTTAGAGGTCAGATGCTGCTGCCTTGTGCCCTTTCTGCACTTCTCATGATGTAGCCCCTCCTTTCCTTTCTGGGGTATGAGCTGTGCCACTCATCTTGCTCTGACAGTGTCTATCACCTGTGCCCTTAACCAGGATCTAATGAATGGCAGGCGATGTGAATACCTACAATGATGGAAATATCCTGTGGTACGATCACTTTACCATGGCCTATCTAGCCACAGTCTTGCAACTCCCACCAAATGACTGGGTGGAATTATGCAAATGAGGTGCTTTTGGCCCACCAAGGGCATTTGACAGCTTGCTAATGATGCAAGTAAGATGCATGGCACCTCTGTGGGGATGGGACCATGCAAATAAGGTGCATGAAATCCTAGTGAGGAGATCTGTCAGTTTTGCTATCCCCCTAGGCTTAAAATGAGACATCACAGAGGTATACAGGGGGAACCTGACTATCACCAAGAGACGGGAGCAGAGTATGTCATTCGAACCCAGGGTCCTTGTGCTGGTAATCTCCTAGACCTAGGAGACAGAGAGCTGTAACACTGGAGATGAGCAGCTGCAGCAGCAGAACCAGGAAACAGGCCAGAGACGGTGGCTTCCCAACCCACAGAGCAAGAAAGCTGAGTGCCTTTGGGCAGGAGCCCTGGTGACAGAGTAGGATGCCTCTGGGCACTTGGTGAGTCACTGACTCACTGAGCAACAAAGCTCAGTGCCTTTGGGCAGGAAGCTTGCTGGTGGAGTGAGGTGCCTAAGGGCACTTGTCAAGGGAGCTAGGCTTGCTGACTGACCCAGAGTGAAAGAGCTGAGCACCTCTGGCTAGGAGGCCTGCTGGTCCAGTGGGGTGCATCTGGACACTTATCAGTGGAGTGAAAAAACTTTGCAACACTTGCTTGTGAGCAGGGGAGAGACCAGGGCAGCCCAAGAGGTCCAAGGCAGGAAGAGGCCTGCCTATGGGAATGGCTAAGGAGAGACTGCACTGATGAAAGAACTATATCCTGAGTCTTTCCTGATCCTGAATTATAACCTGTCACTTCCCTAATAGACGCTATAATCATGAGTATGTCCTGTAAGTTGTGTGTGGCTACTGTAACGAATTATCGAACAGCTAAGCAGAGAATATTGTGGGAGGGATGGCTGGTGTCAGAACTGAAAACAAGGTTAGAGGGTGGAGGCATGTCTGACCTCCACCTCATAGGAATCAACCACGGGCTGTTGATCTTGATTCCCTTTGCCCTTTTGAAGTTAGAGCAGGTCGGGTACCTCTGCCACGCCACTTTTACACATCCTGTATCCTAACAATGAATGGGCTAAAACAGAGTAGAGCAAACTCCTGTATCACCTGGGGCTGGTGGGGACAGGGGTAGTACCAGTGAAAGAGTCACAGAGGAGGTCTTGAGGAATCAATCGCCCTTTTCCTGTTAGGGGTATGGGCAGGCAGGCAGCATGTCCTGCTGGGTTTGGCAGGCAGTCCATGGCTGGAGCAGACAAGTGGGATGCCAGGAGCCGGACCTGCAGTAGGTCTGAGCCTGATGTTGACGGAGTCCCTGGAAGGCAGGGACTGAGTTCTTTTTCCTGGGTCCCTAACCAGAGATCATGGGACCAAGAACTGACCTGCTAGGGCACTGTCTGCCAAGTGAACCAAGTTCTTTCTAATTGATCCAATCAGAGGATGTGTCCCAACCTGTTGCTGGTTGTGCTGGGACTCCCGCCTACTGTCCCTAGGATGGGTCCCTTAATTGGCCTTTCTAGGAGCCAGAGGCAGGGCCACCCTGGGCCACTGGAATTGCCTGGACAGACATGTACTCACCCTTGCCTTCTGCTTCTCAGCCTGGAGCTGGGCGTCAATCTCCTCAGGGCTTGTGTACTGTCTTGCTCGGCCTTTGTGGCCGCCCTTTCTCCCTGCACAAAGATTGGCAGTTTAGAAGGTGAAAGGCAGGCAACTTCCATGACTGCCCCAACCCCCAGAGGGTTTCATCCTAAGGGAGCTGCTCACCTCACCTGCCCCTCATCAAGCATCACCCAACATCTCTTCCTCCTCCACATGTGCAAAAGGACCCGGGAGCAATGGGTGACCATCCTGATGCACCACCAAACGGTGTAGGCATGCAGGTTCCCACAAATAAGACCCAAGGGGAGAGCACAGGGGAGGGAGCACAGCATGGTGTGAACAGCTAATGCAGTCACCAGAAGGTGTAACATTTATGCCCCTACTGCCACCACAGTGCTATTTACTTCAGTACTGTCACAGCCATGGGCTCACCTGATCCTCAGTACAAACCTATAGTGTGGGAGTAACTGCCAGTCTCGTTTGTTTTAAAGACCAGGAGACTTAAGATCAAGGGAGAATGGTGGCAAGCATGGATTTTGGAATCCGACCCATGGGTGCAAATCTCAGCTTGGCCACTTACTAGCTTTGCAACCTTGGGTAGGTTTCTTAACCTCTCAGTCTCTCAATTTCCCCATCTGGGTTCCTCCCTCATCAGGTTACCATGACAATGGCTTAGTTAATATGTATAAAAATGACTGAAGAGTCTCTGGCACAGGCTAAGCACTACAAAAGGGCTGGCTATAATGACTACCTTTTTCTCTACTAGGTTATTTGGTGGGGGAAAAAAAAAACACTGACCACATAACTAATTTGCTGCAGCTGTCAAGAACTATAATGACGTACACTGTGTTCATCTAACTATGTATGGTATAAAGTGGGCACTTAGCAGGAAAAATAAAACCTATAAAATTCCCTTGTGCCTGGAGCAAGCAACAAAGTTAAAAGTGAAAATAAAGCTGACCCAGGTTGAATTCCCAACCAATAAGCCTCATTTGGAGCCACCACCTGTCTGTTCGTGGAGGCTTTTATGTTGCTATGATTCTGCACAGGTTTCAGTGGAGCTTCCAGACTAAGACCCACTAGACAGAAAAGCCTGGCAATCTGCTTCCAAAAATCAGCCACCAGTGAAAACCCTATGGATCACAACGGTCCGATCCACCACCAATCATGGAAATGGTGTGAGACCAGGCAGTGTTTCGTTCTGGTGCACGTGGGGTTGCCAAGAGTCGGGGGTCAACTTGTTGTCAAGCTAATAACTGCAGTAACAAAGTTAATAACGTGACTTGCAGTTTTAAGAGTATTGGTTTTACAGATTGATTCTCTTGAGCCAAGACAGTAGACTGTAACTGGTTATGGCCATCAGCCAGTTTTACAGTAGGGTGGTATGTTCTCTGTCGGCCCCAGAGGATGCTGTGGGGCAGCTGTGGCCTCAAGCCTGGGAAACTGAGGCACACCTGATTTCCAGTGAGTCTCTTACCCTGAACTGAGACTCTAATTAGACAATTAGACAATTGGTTGCTCAGGGCTTCAGGGGCAGTGGCAGAGATACCAGCCTCCCCTGCTTTCTAGACAGCAGCTGTGGAGCCATAATTGGCTGATGCAGACCACACCACCCATTACTAATGACTACCTGGCCTCCCAGAGGCAGCTCAGTCTACTCATGAAAGTCCTATTGTGAGAGATCAAGCTCCCTGTTAAAGAACCCCACACCCTCTTTTACCAACTTCCTATTCTAGGAGATGGTAACTCCTCACAACCAGTTATTGTAGGCTCTCATCTTGCACACCTGACTAGGTGATAATGACCGTAGCTTGCTTTACAGTAACTTTTACAGGAGGTTCTTCAAGCTTTTAAAAATATTTCCCAGTGAGCATAATGGAAACGAGTTGGTCCGGAGCGCTTGGTGAATTCTATACCTTTTTAAAACATCTTCATGTTTTCTAGGGTCCCTGGGTGGTGCAAATGGCTTGTGCTTGACTACTGACCAAAACATTGGTGGTTTGAACCCAGCCAGTAACACTGTAGAAAAAAGGCCTGGCAATCTGCTTTGGTAAAGATTACAGCCTCAAGAAAACCCTATGAGGCAGTTCTCCTTGGCCACGTGGGGTCACTATGAGTCAAAAATCAACTTGACAGTACCTAACCACCTCAACGTCCTTCACAAGCCAAAAGAACAGGTCATTTAGCCATTCCTACTTAAAATGCTGTAACGGTAACTTCCAGTCTTGGCCATTAAACAGGACTCTGGAACAAAAGGGATCAGTTAGCAGAAACCGTTCACAAATGCTAAGACTGAGGAACCTGGAGGCTCCACAGCTCCCCCAACCCCAAAATCAATCAGTGGGGCGCTAGGTTTAAACAGATCTAGCTCTGAAAACTTCAGTGTCTCTGAGAATGTCTCTGAGATATTGTCAGGAAGTCCTTTAGGTGTGAAAAAGCTCCAGGTAAGCTGTTCCTGGGAGAAAGGCGCCGAGGGGGCTTTAACCAACAGGGCACATGAGCTGCGGCTACTGACCGAACATCTGTTCCCTGCCAGGAGCCAGAAGCCATCATTTTCCACCCACACCCCAACTGAGCGAAGGATCATTGACCCAGTGTTTCAGATAAGGAAAATACACTGTGTTCGAGGCCACAGTTAGACAGTGACACCACTGTGATTCGAACCGGGGACTACTGGTCTCAGAGGAAAGAGGCCGGTCTCCAACATACTGAGCCACGGACTCCAGCTTCTCGGCCTTACAGCTAACAATGGTTACCGTAAGCTGGGCCCTTAGCGACTGCCAAGCATTGTAGCAGCGCTCCGATTACCTACTTAAAGCCTCGTATCAGTGTCGCGAGGCAGGTACAATCATTACCCACCTTGCAAACGAGGAAACTGAGACACAGGGAGATTAGGCGACTGCCTCAAAGGCACACATGGAGTCGCCACCACATAGAGGCGTCACAGCCAGGTCAGCCGAGCCCAAAAGCATCACATTAAGGCTTATTCGGCAAAGGCCTGGTCCACGAGAGGGCCCACGTTTTACACACAGGGCGGACAGGCCCGGCCACAGGCGCCGGACACGGTGACTCAGTCTCCCGCCAGCCTCGAAATGAGAAGAAACTTCAGACCCCTCAGACCTGGAGAAGCGCGCTCCGGATTCGGCCTCCGGCGCCGGTGAAAACTGGGGCCTCTGAGTCCCTTCAAGCCCCCGAGAGTGGCTCTAGGCCACTACGGTCCTCAGTTTACCCATCGGAACAATTAGGCGCCGAGGCCCATCCCAGGCCCTCCACCAGCGCAGACGCCCGCCCTCAGCGCCGCTCTCCGAGACACCCGCCGGCTGAGGGACAGTGGGAGTGGGACTCGGGCCGTGCCTCGAGGCCCTGGAGCCACGCGCGCCCGCCCCTCACCTCCTTTAGGCATCGCGGCTCCGGCGGCTGCTGCGGCGGCGCCTCGAACTAACTCCGGAACCGGAAACTCCCTGGGCTCGACTCTTTCCGTCTAGGTTAGAGCCCTCCGCACGCCGCCGCCGCCGCCGCCGCCGCCGCCGCCGCCGCCGCCGCGAGGACCGGGCACCTCCGACAGGCCCCCAGCAAGAAGAGGGAGTGTCCCGCGCGCCGCCTGAATCTAGGTTCGTCCGCGCGCTGCCAGGCAACAACGCCTCCAGTAGCCTCGCCAAGGGAAACGTCTGTGTCTGCTAGCCACCGCCCCCCCCAGGAAAGTGAGGGCACTGGATAACAGCGGCTGTAGCGTTCTATACAGGCAGCTTTGTGGACACCCAAGATGACGCAATCTTCGCGTGAGAAGGGGCAGGATTCCGCGAAGACCTCATTCTGAAAAGATCACCTGAAAAGCGGAAACCGTCAATAGAGAAGTGGCGGCAGGAAGAGGCTGGGGTTTTGGTGAGTGTTTGGCTGCCTTGGTAACGGTTTTGGCCAGACGTTGGAGATCTGCACTTGCTAAAAGGGCGATCTGAGCTTCTGGGCTAGGATGGGGTCGAGACGCTGGACCGGGAGCCCAGAGTCAATTTCCAGGAGGAGGCGGAGCCTTTATTTATTTTGCTGAAGAGATGGGAGGTTTGGGGCTTTTCTTGCTACTAGGCTTCTTTTCAGGCCGTTTTCTCTGACAAGGACTCATTTTGTCTACATCCTGCTTTTTCTTCTAAGATCGCTTTCATGTAGTTCTTTCCTGGAACCTTTTCTGAAATCCCAATGGTAAACGTCTTCTCGCCCCTCTATTTTCTCTACCTTTCCTCGAACGCTTCCAAGGGATGATGTATTTTTTACACCGCCCACCACCTCGTTCGTTTGGACCTGGTTACCTCGTACCTGTCAGCTCCCTCGGGAGGCCTTCTCTGACTCGCAGGCTGGGCAGGGCCCTCGGATTTCCCGGGGCAGTAGGAAAGCGATCCTTTTCTTGTCACTGGCTGTGTCATTGCCCTCCCAGATCCTCTGTAGTTTCACGCGGGAGGAGACCAGTGCGGAGAGCACTGACCCGACCAGTTTGCAGCAATATGATCATGACTTTACCTCTTGGGAGTTTAATTTCTCATTTGTAAACATGATATGGAGAGCTCGTGAGAAAAGGCCGTATGTGTGTGTAAACTTTCAGAAGGGAGGAGCTGGGTGAATTTGGGGGAGATGAGTCTGTTGTGCTTAAAGGTTAGCGATAAGTGGCCTGTATTCTCTTTTGCCAGCGAGGAAATGCCATGTGGTTTGAAAAGCTCTTTGCCATTTAGATTTGGAAGGGCTCTTGCATGGGTTGTCCGCTACTTGTCTTTGGGTACTGTGTTGGTTAGATCTGAAAGGGACTATGTTGTTATTGTTGTTATGTGCTGTCGAGTTGGCCTGACTCATAGTGATCCCTCCTTGGGTTTCCGAGGTGGTATCACTACAGAAATAGATTGTCCAACCTTCCTTCCAAGGAGTGGCTGGTGAATTTGAACCGGGAGCCCTCTGGTTAGCAATCAAGTGCCTTAGCACTGTGCTACTAGAGCTCCTAAAAGGGACCGTAGAAATCAGCTGATTGACTGCCTTCATTTTACAGATAAGGAGACACAGGACCAGAGAGACAAAGTAACCTCCTGAAAGACACAGAATGAGTAAATGGTAGAGTTGGACAAGAACCCAAGCCTGTACCGCAAGAGGTCTTCCACTACACCCTTGGAAAGCAGATCCTAAGGTGCTTTGGGTTTACAGCTTTTTAAAACGCTTCTCTCAGCTCCCCTAGGCCTGGTCCCGGTAACACTGCATTGTAATTACTCTTTCATCTCCCTGCACCAAAAGTCACCGTTGGGGGGGGAGGGTGTCAGCGGGGGGAAGAGGCTGTGTCTTACTTGTCCAGTGCAGGGCCAAGCTTATAGTTGATGTTAATAATAGCAGCAAACATTCACTAAGTGCCTGGCACTTTAAATTCAATTATAAATAAGTCTTCACAATTACCTCATAAGGTTAAGATTGGTTTGCTGAGATTGAGGGATTTATAAGCTTCCTAAGGTCACAGCAGTGGTGCAGTAGCAGTGCTAGGGTCTGACAGTCTAAATGCTGGGCCCTTTCCTGTAGCCACTGCCCTGCACTGCCTCTGGGAAGTGACTGTGTGCCACATTGGTAGCTGGTGAAGGCCTTTGGGGAGCTGAGGTTCCGAAACCAATTCAATTCATTTCTTTTTCCAGATCTTTGCAAATTATTTTGTGAACGAAAATGCCTAAAGTCAAAAGAAGCCGGAAAGCACCCCCAGATGGCTGGGAGTTGATTGAGCCAACACTGGATGAATTGGATCAAAAGATGAGAGAAGGTGAGTAGGAGAGTTCCTGTCTGTGTTGGCTGGGTACTGGGGTCACAGGCTGAAGTGCCTCTAGGGGCCAGGCAAAAATGCAATTATACGTTGGAAGCGGTGGCACCATTGTGCCTTCTGACATGGACACATCTTGTTTCCATGTTAACTCAGAAGCCAAATATATTGCTGATGAGTTGATTCTAATATATGGCGATCCCGTGTGTTAACAGAATAGAAGTGCTTCATAGTGTTTTCTTGGATGTAATCTTTATAGAAGTGGATCGTCAGACCTTTCTGCCTCAGCACCACTGGGTATGTTTAGACCGCCAGCTTTTGGCTTAATAGTCAAGTATGAGCAGTTTGTGCCACTCAGAAAACCAAAAATCACTGCCATCAAATGGCTTCTCACTCATAGCAACCCCCGTTGGGTTTCCAAGGCTGTAAATCTTTATACAAGTAGATTGCCTCACCTTCCTCCCATGGAACAACTGGTGGGTTTGAACCACCAACCTTCTGGTTAGCAGCCAAATGCCTTTCCCATTACACCACCGGAGCTCCTTGTGCCACCCAGGGACCTCTGTTAACTCATAACAGTACTATAAATGCTTGAATATAAGAGATACTAACAAAGTGGTGCTTAGAAATGGTTTGTATTTTTTTTTTTTTTTTTTTTGTATGTGATTTGGGTGACAGTTTACAGAACAAATTAATTTTCCATACAACAATTCATACACATTTTATTTCATGACGTTGATTTCAGTCCCCATAATGTAACAGCTCTCTTTTCACTTCCACTCTTTGGTTACCTCTTTCCTATGCATTCCTGCCCTCTGAGCTCTCTCCCTTTGCAAATACTGCCTTCTGAGCTCCCATGGTTGATTGTTCTAAGGAGTGTACTTACCTGCTATAAATATTCCCCTTATACGCCTGTCTACTGTTTGGCTGGAAGCCCAGGAGTGAGTTCAATTAAAAATTATTAGGGTGACTAGGGGCCATAGTCTCTGGGGTTTCACCAGTCTGTATCAGACTAGTAAGCCTGGTGTGTTTTTTTTTTCCCCCATGTTTGGGTGGTGCTGCTGGCATCTACTGGATAGAGGCCAGGAACACTGCTCAGCATCATACAAATGCACAGGAAGCCTGGTCTTTTTATGATTTTCAGTTTTGTTCCACATTTTCCTCCTACTCTATCTAGGATCTCTTATTTGGATTCCTTTCTGAGTGTTTGACAGTGGTAGTGGGGCACCATCTAGTTCTTCTAGTCTTAGGTCATGTAGGCTGAAGTTCTCATGGTCTGCTAGTCCCTTGGAACTAATTATTTCCATATGTCTTTGTTTTTCTTCATTTTCCTTTGCTCTGGACAAGGAGAGACCAATTGTTGCAACTTAGATGGTCACTTGTAAGCATTTAAGACTCTAGTCGCTACTTACCAAAGTAGGACATAGAACAATGTTTTTGTGTAGTTTGTTATGCCAGTTGAGTTTGATGTCTCCTGCAACCATGGTCTCAAGTCCATGAGCCCAATGACTCACTCCCTCAGGGTTTTTGGCTATGGCTAAGAACTTACCATAACTTTGCCCTGTTAGCTCTGTTGTGTATATGGACATTCTTATAGCACGTACAAATATGTATATAGAAATGTCGCCAGCCAAACTTTTGTATGGTCGTGGGTGTTCCCTTTGCCTAGACATACATGATCATTTAGCTTGTCTACTTATGTTTCCACACATGGATTAATGTTTGTCATTACTGATAATGCAGGATTATGTATGTAATAGTGTTTATCTTTGTTATCTGTACCTCTTGTGCACCTCTCTTTTCCTTAGTGTTACTGTGTTGGTCACTCACTTTTGTTATATTGCCTTTCACTTTACTCAAATCAATACTTGTCTCTTACCTATCTAGCAACTTTCCCTCCTCTCCCCTCCCTGGTAACCAACAAAGAACAAAGAACATTTCCTTCCGTGTGTAAACCTTTCGTTAGTGGACTAATACATATTTGTCCCTCTGTGATTGACTTATTTCTGTCAGCATAATGTCCTCCATTAGCAGGAGAGGCCAGGGACCTCTGGAGCAGCAGGATATCCAGGAAAAGGGCAGGGAGGCAAGGCCAGTCCCCAAGCCCTCTAGAGCCAGGAAAGGAAGGGAACAGCCAGAGACCACAAAGTGGGAGATTCCAGGTAGGAATTAGGTAAGGAGAGGGCGCAGAGGTTTCCAACAGCTAACGGAGACAAACTTGTCTGTCAGTGTGTCATGCTATGGGGCGTGTTACGTTGCCGTGAGGCTGGAAGCTGTGGCACTAGTGTTTCAGATGCCAGCAGAGTTGGATATGGTGCACAGGTTTCAACACAGCTTACATACTAAGACAGACTAGGAAGAAGGAGGAGGCCATCCACTTCTCAAAAATTGGCCAAGGAAAACCTCATGAATACCAGAGAAACATTACTGCACAACTTTATGAATAGCTCAGAAATGTTGTCCAACACAGTGCAGGAACATGAGCCCTTTGGGTCAGAAAGCACTCAAAATAGGACTGGGAAAGAGCTGCCTCATCAATTGCTCATATGCAAGTTCAACTTCAAGTTTAAGACAATTTAAACAAATTCATGAGAGCCAAATATGACCTTGACTATATCCCTCCTGAATTTAGACCATCTAAAGAATAGATTTTATGCATTGAACACCGAAAACCAGAAGAATTGTGGGATGATATCAAGAGCATCATCCATGAAGAAAGCAAGAGGTCATTAAACATATGAGAAAGAAAGAAAAGACCAAAATAGATGTCAGAAGAGATTCTGAAACTTGCCCTTGAGTGAAGAGTAGCTAAAGCAAATGGAAGAAATGACAAGATAAAAGAGTTGAACAGATTGCAAAGAGCAGCTCAAGCAGACAAAGCCAAGTACTATAATGGAATGTGCAAAGACCTGGAGTTAGAAAACTGAAAGGGAAGAACACGCTCGGCATTTCTCAGGCTGAAAGAGCTGAGGAAAAAATTTAAGCCTCGAGTTGCAATACTGAAAGATTCTATGGGAAAAATATTGAATGATGCAGGAAGCATCAAAGGAAAATGGAAGGAATACACAGAGTCACTGTATGAAAAAGAACTAGTCAATTTTCATCCATTTCAGGAGGTGACATATGTTCAAGAACCAGTGGTATTGAAGGAAGAAGTCAAAGCTTCACTGAAAGAATTGGCAAAGAACAAGGCTCCAGGAATTGACAGAATACCCATTGAGATATATCAACAAACAGATGCCCCGCTGGAGGCACTCACTCGGTTATGCCAAGAGATTTGGAAGGCAGCTACCTGGCCAACTGGAAGAGATCCATATTTGTACCTATTCCAAAGAAAGGCAATCCCACAGAATGTGGAAATTATTGAACAGTATGATTAATATCGCATGCAAGTAAAATCTTACTGAAGGTAATTTAAAAATGGTTGCATCAGTATATTGACAGAGAACTTCCAGAAATGCAAGTTGGATTCAGAAAAGGATGTGGAACAAGGGATATCATTGCTGGTATCAGATGGATCTTGGCTCAAAGCAAAGAATACCAGAAAGATGTTTACTTGTGTTTTATTGACTATGCAAAAGCATTTGATTGTGTGGATCATAACAAATTGTGGGTAACATTGAGAAGAATGGGAATTCCAGAACACTTAATTGTACTCATGAGGAACCTGTATGTAGACCAGGAGGCTGTCATTCAAACAGAAAAAGGGAATACTACATGGGTTAAAATCAAGAAAGGAGTGCATCAGGGTTGTATCCTTTCACCATACTTATTCAATATGTATGCTGAGCAAATAATCCAAGAAGCTGGACTATATGAAAAAGAACATGGCATTAGAATTGGAGGAAAAATCATTAACAACCTGCGATACCCTGACAACACAATTTTGCTTGCTGAAAATGAGGATGACTTGAAGTACTTACTGATGAAGATTGAAGAATACAGTCTGCAGTATGGATTACATCTTAGTATAAAGAAAACAAAAATCCTTATAACTGGTCCTATAATCAACATTACGATAAATGGAGAAAAGATTGAAATTGTCAAAGACTTCACATTACTTGGTTCTAAGATCAACACCAATGGAAGCAGCAGTCAGGACATCACATGATGTATAGGACTGGGCAAATTGTCGGCAAAGGGCGTCTTTCAAGTGCTGAAGAGCAAAGATGTCTCCTTGAGGACTAAGGTGCGCCTGACACAAGCCATGGTATTTTCAGTCACCTCATAACCATATGAGAGGTGGACAATGAATAAGGAAGACCGAAGAAGAGTTGATGATTTTGAGCTGTGGTGTTGACGAAGAATGCTCAAAGTACTGTGGACTGCTAAAAGAACTAACAGGTCTTTCGTAGAGGAAGTGCAGCCAGAATGCTCCTTGGAGGTGAGAATGGCCAGACTTTGTCTCACATACTTGGTCATGACCATTCCCCAGAGAAGGATGTCATGCTTGGTAAGGTGGAGAGTCGACAAAAAGGGGAGGGCCCTCAACGAGATGGACTGCCACAGTGGCTGTGGCGATAGGCTGAAGTATAGCAAGAATCATAGAGCTGGCTCAGGACCGGGAGGTGTTTCGTTTTGCTGTGCATAGAGTCGCTATGAGTCAGAGATGACTTGGTGGCACCTAACAGCAGCAGTGTCCTCCAAGTTCATCCATGTCATGAGGTGTTTTGCAGATTCTTCATTATTCTTCAGTACTGCATATAGTTTCAGAAATAGGTGTTACGGGTTTTTTTGTTTTTTTGGCCGACTCAAGTATAAAAGCTGTAAGTAATGTAGATCAAATAGGCAGATAGTCTGCCTTTAATTATTGCTATTTTGGTTAGCTATGTAGTTAAAATGACACAAAATGTATTTACTTGGAACTACTGCTCTTATTCACATTTTTTGAAACATTTTTATTCAAATTCTTCTCACTTTGACACTTTTCACCATCATTAGACACCCTCTCACTTACCTCTGTGTGATCCTGCACATGTGAGTTCCCATTGTAGGCTGCATTTGGAAACTTCATCCAAGGCCATAAGCATCCATTGGCTTTTATGATTTCCACAGTGTAACTTGTGAATGAATACTATTTAAATCTTCCTTTTAAAGGCTTGTTGGTAACTAAATCTTACAAATTACAAGGCCATACCTCCAGCAGTATTAGAGTAGTTTGCTGCTTTTTTTCCAAACTGATTGTCAGGAAACCTATATCAATAATCAAAAACTCTAATCAAGGTCCTTTTGGGCTCATAGGTTTTCATTTCAGAGTAAAGGAACTGGGAGAGAGCTGTAAGAGAAACGATTTTGTATGTCCTTGACGATAAATCTACTTCTTATAAGGGATGATTTTTTTTGAGGATGTAGGGAATCTTCCCTAGTATTTGAACATGTATGACTTCCTTTCCAGTATGTCCTGCCTCAGTGTAGCTGGCAAGGGCAGAGAACAGCCGTGAGGCCATTGTGTACTGGTGCCTGATCCCCTGGGCACTGAAGGAACAGTTCTTTTCTGCAGGCCGCTATGCTAACGTTTAGACTGCTCTGGTTTTCTGCAGGCCGCTATGCTAACATTTAGACTGCTCTGGTTTTCTGCAGGCCGCTATGCTAACGTTTAGACTGCTCTGTTTTGTTTTTTTTTTCTAAAGGACTTTTTGGTTGGAAAATTTAATTAGGGCTAACTTTTAAAGATGGTAAGGGAGCCCTGTATGGTACAGTGTTTAAAACACTTGGCTGCTAGCCACAATGTCAGCAGTTCAAACCTATCAGCTACAGGAAAAAGATGTGCCAGTCTCCTTCTATAAAGATTTACAGCCTTGGAAACCTTATGGGAACTTCTACTCTGTCTTTGTAGTGTCACTGTGGGTCGGAATCTGTGGCAGTGGAATTTGTGTTAATGATTGGGATGCCCATCTCTGGGCCAGCAATTATCTTGCAGAAGTACAATGCTATAGGAATAGATAAGGAAGGATAGAGACCTGGATGTTCAGATAACAGTTTTATTGAGAGATACATCGCATACTGTAAAATCCACCTTTTGAAAGTGTCTGAGTGGCCTTCGAGTATATTCAGAGTTGGTCAGCCATCAGCATCATCAATCTTGGAACATTTCTTCACCTCCAGAAGAAACCCGTTACTCACTAGCAGTCACTCTTCATTCCCCCTTTCTCCAGGGAGCAACTGCTAATCTTTCTGTCTCTTCATTTGCCTATGCTGGGCATTTCATATAAACAGAGTGTATATAGTATGTGGGAGCTCTGGTAGCATAGTGGCTAAGACACTTGACTGCTAACCAGAAGGCTGGCGGTTCAAACCCACCAGCCACTCCTCGGAAGGAAGGTTGGGCAATCCTACCATAGTGATACTGCCTCGGAAACCCAAGGAGGGGTCGCTATGAGTCAGGGCTGACTTGACGGCACATAACAACAACAACAACAACATATAGTATGTGGTTGTTTGGGACTGGCTTTTTTTTTGGCTTTAACAAACAAATTTATTTTCACACAATTTGGAAGATTAGAAGTCCAAATTCAAGGTGTTGGCTCTAGGGTTAAGACTTCGTCTCTGCTAACAGTGGAGGAAGGCCTTGTCTCTTTTAGCTTCTCCTGGGTGATCTTCTTTGTGGCTTGGCATCAATCTTCTCCTAAGTCTAGGAGGTTCTTAGTGCAGGGACCCCAGGTCCAAAAGATGAACTGTGCTCCTGGTTCTTCTTGCCTCGTGGTAGGTCCCTCTAGTCTCTGCTTGTTTAATCTCTTTTATATGTCAAAAGAGATTGACTCAGTATGCAACATAATCCAGTAGATTGTATCCTGCCTCATTAAAATAACTGCCTCTAGTCCTGCCTCATTAACATTATAGAAGTTAGATAAACAACACAAAGAATAATTACATCAGATCATATAATGGAGGATAATTGCCTAATTCTGAGAATAATGGTCTCGCTAAATTGCCACATAATTTGTAGGGACACAATTCAATCCAGAACAACAGGTTTCATGTTTTTGTTTTAACATTCTTTTCTTTCTTTTTTTGAAGTAATATTTCCTTTCTATTATTTTTTCCATGGATGTGTTACATGGAAAGCTGAATGATGCCTTTGCCTGTACTCTATAGAAGGAGGGAAAGCCCCTTGCAGCAGATGTGATAGCCAAAGCTACATTTCAAGTCTTACTCACCTATTGAAGCAAATCTTTTTTTTGGTGTGTGATTTGGGTGCGAACTTACAGAGAAAATTCACTTTCCATACACCATTTCACATACACTTTGTCTCATGACATTGACTACAATTCCAATGCAACAGCTCCCCTCCCACTTCCTCCCAATAGTTACCTCCTCCCTGTGTCCATCCCTTGGGACTGGCTCCTTCACTAAGCATATTTCCAGGGTTCATCCGTGTTGTAGCATGTACTTCGTTCCTTTTTATTTTATTCCCACATATTGTATTACATAGAACTTACATATTCATTAGTTGATGGACATTTGGGTGTTTTCCACTTTTTGGCTGCGGTGAACATTAGGCTCACGAGCTTTCGTGTAAACATGTGTTTCAGTTCCCAGGAGTGGAATTGCTGGGTCCTGTGATAACTCTGTTCATTATTTTAAGGAACTGCCAGGGTGTTTTGCAAAGCACCTGCACCATTTTCCATTCCCACCATCAGTGTATGAGGATTCCAGTGTCTCCACATCCTTGCCAGCACTTGTTATTGTCCATCATTTTGATTATAGTCCTCTGACTGGGTATGTTGTTGTCATTGTTACGTGCCGTGGAGTTGGACCCAACTCATAGCAACCCCTACTTGGGTTCCAAGGCAGTATCACTATGGAAGTAGATTGCCCAACCTTCCTTCTAAGGAGTGGCTTGGTGGGTTTGAACCTCTAGCCCTCTGGTTTGCAGTCAAGTGCTTTAGGCACTATGCTACCAGAGCTCCCACTAGTGGATATAAGGATGGATATTACCAAAGTGATAGACAACATATATAAATAATCCCAGTGGATATAAAGGAGCTCTGGTAGCACTGGTTAAAGCATTTGGCTGCTAACCAAAGGGTCAGTGGTTCAAACCCACCAGCTGCTCCTTGAGAAAATAATGAAGCACTCTGCTTCTGTTAAGATTTATAATCGTGGAAACCCAGTGGAGCATTTCTGCCCTATAGGGTTGCTATGAGTCAGAGTTGACTCAATGGTGGTGGGTTTAGTGGATATGAAGTGTGTTTATTCTTTAACCTGAAACCAAAAACCAAACTCAATGCTGTCGAGTTGATTCAACTCATTGCGACACCTCCTTAGGTTTCCATGATGCTATCACTATGGAAGTAGACTGCCCAGTCTTCCTTCTGAGTGGCTGATGGGTTTGAACTGCCAGCCTTCTGGTTAGCAGTCAGATGCCTTACGCACTACACCCCCAGCGGTTACTGAACAATACCTACATCCTGTGCAAACTAACCCCTCCTCCCTCAAAGCAGACTAACATACTTTCTTCTCCCCAGCGGAGACAGAGCCTCACGAGGGAAAGAGGAAGGTGGAATCTCTGTGGCCCATCTTCAGGATCCACCACCAGAAAACCCGATACATCTTTGACCTCTTTTATAAGCGGAAAGCTATAAGCAGAGGTAACTGGCTAAATTCTCTTGGCCTTTCAAACACGGGTGGTTTTCAGAATTAACTGAAGTCATGGTTCTTTTTCTTGCAACCCACCAGCGTTGCGTTTTCTTAGCACTAACAAAAGGGAGGGGTTGGCCCAGTGTTGGAAAAGACTCACTCATGAAGGGGGGGTGTTTAACGCCTGGTCTAATGTCCTTTTCCACCTTCCTGACAGAACTGTACGAGTACTGTATTAAAGAAGGCTATGCCGATAAAAACCTTATCGCAAAGTGGAAGAAGCAGGGCTACGAGAACCTGTGCTGCCTGCGCTGCATTCAGACTCGGGACACCAACTTCGGGACCAACTGCATCTGCCGGGTTCCCAAAAGCAAGCTGGAAGTGGTTAGTGTTCCCACCCATGTGGCTGGATAGTCGTGGGTAGCATCTCCAGTTTAGGATTCGCCCTGGTTAACCCAGAGCTCTTAGCTGGGGTGTAACTTTGTTGCTGGCTGTCCCGCTGGCCACCCCTCTGGGGGATGCGTTGCACTCCGCCGTTCCATGGAGTTGGCAGTACTAGTGCTTGTTAAGTCTGGGGGCCAAGCTTGACTCCACCCTGGGGCGCGTTACTGAACTCCTTTGAAGCCTGTTTTCTCATCTCTAAACCAGGAGAGACATCCCTGCCTCAGCTTTTCGGAGACTTAAATCCTTTCCCTCCAGTCCTTCCTTCCATCTCAGCCAGCCCATTGTCCCAGGCCTCCTGCCCCTCACAGTGAGGCTTTCATGTTACCATTCACTGCATTTCAGAAACTTCTGTTCCAAAACTAGGCTGGGCAACTCGGACGTGGTGCTGGGTGGGCTGCGGCCCCTCTAGATGGGGCTGCAGAACAAAGCAGGGAAGGGTGGCTGCAGTGCTGGCCGTTCGTGGCTCCCTGCACGGCCTGGAAGCTCAGGGACGGGTGCTGAGCGATACACACCGAGCAACAAGAGGGCGGCCTCCCCCCACAAAGGATGTGCTGGGGGCTGGATTTCTGTTTGGGACAGGGAGGAGGTGGCCCCACAGTAGTGTCTGGGCTGGGGGGTGCTGCCCTAACTCTGCAGCTGAGGCAGAGCCAGTTCCAGCTTAGTTGGGTTTTACTATAGTATCTTTTTTGCTTAGGGTCTTTGCTTCTCAAAAAAAGGGAAAGGGAAAGATACAAAACGCTGAGAGCAGCTGGCAACAGGGGCAGACTTCCAAGCCCACCTGGGCAGGAGGTGGGGGACATGCACTGTTTGCTGGGCAGAGATTCCAGGCACACCCACCCTCGTTCCCTGGGCCCCACCAGACTTACCCTGCCCAGAGGAGGCCCTGAGCGGCAGCAGACCTGTCTCCGGCTCAGCCTGGACTCTCCCCTAAGTCAATGCAGTAATGACTTATCTCATGTGGATCTTTTTATTTTTTTCTTTTCTTTCTAAAGTAAGTGTGAGTAGTTGAAACAGCAGTAGCTGTTCATGAGGGAATAGGTCATCCTCTCCTGAACTGACAGCAAGGGCTTCTGAGGAGTGTCCTGGAGGGAGGGACTGGAGGGTGGCTGCGTTTCCTGTCCGTCTGTCTGTCTGCCAGGCAGGTGCTGGAGGACACCAGCAGGGAGCCTCCCCCACGTGCCGGGGCCCAGCCTCCTGGTGTAGTTCTCAAGCCTCTGTCTCTGCCGCAGGGCCGGATCATCGAGTGCACGCACTGTGGCTGCCGCGGCTGCTCCGGCTGAGGCCCTGCTGACCCGGCTCCAGCCTGGACTTGAGACTTCGTGGGCTCTGCCTTTGTGCCACCGCCCTTCTGGGGAGCCGCTTTTCTCTATATGGCACCACCTCAACCCGTGCCAGTGTGTGGGTTCCCCAGGGAAGGCTTTGGTGTTCATCAGCTGTGATTTGTAAAAAATAAAACTTCTCAGCTTCTCGGGCTCTCTGTTCATTCTGTCACAGTAGCGGGGGTGGAGCCGGCAGGAGAACGCCAGGCATTCAGTCCTGGCTCCACCCTGACGTGGTGGGTGATGGAGCAGGTTCACGTGCCTCACCTGCGATGGGAGCAGCCGCCTCGGGTGATCGCAAGGGTGACCCGTGGAAGTAGCACGAGTGGCCCTCCGACCTGCTGGGAGCTGGTCAGCCTCCCTGGCCCCCCAGCATTTGTCATCATAAACCAAACCAAAACCAGACTCCCAGCCATCAAGCCGATTCAACTCATAGCGACCCCTCCTTGGGTTTCCGAGGCAGTATCTCTACGAAAGTAGATTGCCCAGTTTTCCTTCCAAGGAGTGGCTGGTAGGTTTGAACCGCCAGCCTTCTGGTGAGCAGTCAAAACACGTTAGCCACTATACCACCAGAGCTCCATTTGTCATCATAGCATTTGTAAAATGCTGCCACTTTAACCAGGGCCAACCTTCCCTCTTCCATGACTTTAAACAGTTCACTTTCCTTTAATATATGAAAAGGGCTCCCAGGTGGCCACCAAGCACCATGGGTCCATGCGCTCTTTGAGCTGTGCCCCAGTGCCCGAGCCTCCAGCGTCACCTGCCCCCAAGGCCTCTGTCCACATCGGCCTCTGTCACAGAGTGCTGGTCCCCCCAGGCTTGGTCCTGAACTTCTGCCAGGGGTGAGGGCTTTCCTCAGCCGGCATCACTTTGAGCCACTGCTTGTAGTAAGCACGGAAGCCGTCAATCTTCTCCAGGTAGGTGTTCCTCCCTTTGTACTGTAAGGGAGAAACCACAGTTGGAACCCCTGCCCTCAGCCAACCCAGACGCTGGCACATGGAGCAGGCCTCCCCGTGGCTGGCCTTGCTGTTGTCACTTCCAGGCAGTTACAGGGGAGACAGTGAGAAAACAGTTAAGGTTCAGGAAGAGTGTAGCCTACAGCAGAGAAATGGGCTTAGGCAGACATGCTGTGCCATGAGGCAGGCCGTGGCCTGCTCGCAATCATCTTCCTCACTCTGCATTGCTGTGCTCCTGTACTGTGGATGTCACCTGTCACCCCAGCTCCTGAGCTGAGATCACTGGGTCCCACCAACTCCCCCTCCACGTGGCCACTGCCTCCTATCTGACCCTTTTTGTCAGCACAGATACAACGGTCTCCAGGAAGCAGGGAAGAGGAGGAGGGACAGAAAACAGACTTCACCTGTCTGGGGCAAAGAGGAGTGAGGAAAAAGGCACATGGAAACAAATCGGCAAAGGAGCCCGCAGCACCGGGGCCCTGGGGGAGCAGGGTAGCCATAGGTTCCACCCTGAGCAGCTCATGGTTTAGTGCACAGGGCTGCCCCGTAAATACATGATTGACCTAAGACACAGCGTTGAGGAAACAGTGCTATATAGGTAGTGGGGACGGGACCTTTCAGGTTGGGGAGGCATGTGGCAGGGCACCTCTGAGGAGGAAGAGCCATCAGGCTGAGTCTTGTGGGCTGAGGGGGAGCCCTGATGTGAGAAGCTAGGAAGCCTGTTCAAGGCAGGGTGAATAGGAAAGGCCAAGGCAGGCAGGTCCCATGTGTGGTCTAGAAGGTGACAGAAGGCCAGAGTGGCTGACCCTGAACACACGGGAGTGGCCAGGGATGAAGGAACAATGCACAGGCCTGTGGACCGGGGGCCAAGGACTTTGTTTTCTCCTCAGAGAAGCCACTGGACACTTTTAACAGGAATGCTGATCTGAAGGACAAGGGCCAAGGTGCCAAGAGAACCTTCCAGCTTGGTGCACATACCCGGTCGAAGGTGGGTGGGTACTCAGCCGCGAACTCGAGCTGACGGATGACCACCTCATTCACGGAGACGTTGTTCTGCCGCATGTCCTTCAGGATGTCGATGAGGTAGGCATAGTCCAGCCTCTTGAGGGCAGCGTTGATGAGGGCACTGTAGATGTGGGTGTTGGGCGCCATCTGGGACTTCTGCAAAAATCACCAAGAAGATGGGAGGGCAAGAGAGAAGCCCACTAAGGCATGTCTAGCAGACAGCAGCCACGGGCCATGACCCTGCACCTAAAGGAAAGCATGTGCCCTGCTCGGTGGGCCACCCCACACACAGCCCCGGAACCTGAAAGAGCAAGGACAAACACTGATGCTCTCAGAGTCCAATGGACCCTGTCTCCTTAGCTCTCAGCTGTGGATTCACAGATAACAACATTGTCACCCGAGGGTGGAAAACTGCCAACACTGGCTGGGTGAGACCAGAAGTGTCCAGGCGAAATGCAGAGGCCCGGGGCATGAGGGCCAGCCTCTCCCACCCAGCTTCCCAAGCCCCCCGCATGCCCTCTTGGCCCCCATGTCCTACACAGGACTGGCTGCTCACCCGCATGTCAGCGAGCAGCTGCAGGCCGTCACCAGGCCTGCGGCACCCAATGGCCAGGTTGCAGAACGTCTGCAGGTTGGGGACGAGTCCCCTCTTTGCCAGGACTGGCAACAGTGCCTATGGGGACAGACAGGATATCAGTGTCATCCAGCCCTGGTGAGGGCCTTGGGGGAAGCCCTTGGCTGGGAGCTGCAGACTCCAAGGACACAGCTCTGCTTTGAGGCCTCTGGCTGCCTGCTGACCGAGTGCCACCCCAGCCCTCAGCTTCTCATTCAAGGCCCCACTGCCATCCAGCCTGCCTCTCAGGACCATCTCCCTGAAATCGTGCTGCCCGGCACAGACATGTGCTTCCTGCCTGCACCTCCCTTCCCATGGTGCCCCTCCACAAACGTCCCTCCCCCTTCAAGTCCGTCTGTCTGTGCTGCCCGGCAGCCTCCTGTCCCCATGCCTCACTCCACTCCTCTGCAGGCCACCCAGACCTCAGAGCTCTGTGATTTATTGAGCACTGGGGTGGGGGCCTCAAGGTCTGGTGGTCCGGGGCAGGATGAGGGTACAAAGATGCCAGGAACGGGGTGGGGGGGCAGGAGCCTGGGCTGGGGGGGAGGACCAGTTAGACCAGGTGAGAGGGGCCCCTGGCGGGGCTCTGGCGTTAACTGGATATAGGACAGCATCCAGCAGAGTCAGTGCAGTGCAGGGAGGAAGGGAGGTGACTGAAGTGGGGACCCTCACGGGGCCCCATTCTGAGTCACCAGCCATTCAAGACAGCCTCCTTAAAGGCACTTCTTGGACCCTCACATGTGTCCTTATGGTGCCTGTCCACCTGACCCCATCACCAGTGTAGAATGTGTACCACCTTCCTCCCACGGGACAAGGGGTGTGTCTCCTGGCTCATGTGGTGACCCACCACCTCCCAGGTCCAGAGCAGGAGTTCACACACACCTGCTGACTGACCTCGGGCTCAGGAGGCCACACCTGGCAGGCGCTCTGGGCACCTCATCCAAAGGTCAGAGTGAGGGAAGGGGATTCCCAGCCGATGCTACCCCCGAACCCTCACCTTCGCCCCCTCCAGGTCACCCAGCTTGCTCTTCTTCCTCATCAGTGTGTTGAAGAACGTCACATCCGCCTCCACATAGTGCGCGTCCAGGGTGACCAACAGCGAGGACTCCGCGGGGCTGCCAGGCGCCACCACCTCGGCCAGCAGCGTGAAGGTCTTGATGTCGGGTTGAAGCTCGTGCCCTGCCATCTTGCCCAGGAAGCCCTCCATGCCCCCCATGAGGGCCAGCCTGTCCGCCGGGGTGGCCACTGTCCCAAGGGAGACCAGAGCCGGGGGCACTGCCCCGAGGGTCAGGAGGTTGACCTCCAGCCCTGAGGGAAGGGGCTGCAGGGCCACAGGGCTGAGGGTCACAGGGTGGTCAGGTTTCTCGGTGGTGTCCGCCTTACACTGGGCCTTGCCCGGGGCTCTGGCCCCCTGAGGTTCTGGAGGGCCCTCTGGTGACTGAGGAGTTTCCAACAACAGCTGCTTCTCCAGGGCCTCCACGTGCAGCCTGGCCGACACGCTGCCAGCTGCCCCGGCCTGGGCCGTCCTTGCCCGCCGCCTACCTGCTGGGGGCTGGAGCAGGGCCACCTCCTCCACAGGCCTCAGGAGCAGCTCTGTGGCCACCGCCGGGTCCCCTAGGCCGCAGTCCCGAGCAGCCGCCAGCAGCAGGTTGTAGCCGTGCAGGCTCGGCTTGAGCCCCATACTCAGCATCTGCCGCCACACCTGCTCGGGGAGAGAAAACTCAACGCTTGGGCTTCTCTCCTCCACAGAGCGCCCAGCAGAGATGGCGCTGGGAGTCAGCCATCAGGCCAGCAGGCAGTAAGGGCACACGAATCATCTGGGAAGAAGTTGACCCTGCTCCAAGCTTTGGCCAGCTACAATCTTAGGAACTTTGAACAGCCTCTGGGAGACGCCAAAGGGGCCAGTGTCCCTCCCTGTCCTTCCCCAAGTGTACCCCAAAACTGTTCTCGTAGTCTCATCCCTCTACCCTCTCCTGGAAACAGGCTGCACCCCAAGTCTCTGCCCACCTTCGCCTCCCCCAGGGAGCGGGGCCTAAGGCCAGGTTCTGGAATAGTCTGAGCTGACTTGAAGGCTGACTCCCCTGCAGCTTGGGAGTGCCTCTCAGGTGCCCCGCCTGTGCCTCCCTCTCAGGAGGGAGCGTGCAACAGGTGTGAGCACTGAGTGTCTGAGGGTGATGGTACAGTGTGAGCCTCAGTGCCAGCAGGGCACAGCTGACTCCTGCCCACCTCTCACTGGCTGTGGGCCGGAAGCCATCAAGCAGTCAGCCCACTCAGCACCCAGAACCCTCAGCATACTCAATAAGCCACAGCAGCTGCGGCCTCGTGCAGGCCACAGTGACACCAAGACCAGCACCAATTCTAACATATCCACCTGGTTCCCTGCCTGTGGTCACAGAGTCCACGCAGGCCACACTGCCACGGGGAGCCCAAACCGTGCACCTGACTTCCCACCCTCGCCAGACATTAGCACCCAGGCAAGACGGGTTGTGCTAGAGAGACACTGCTGGCCAGAGCAAGGGCTCAAAGAAGGGTCTCAACTGCCACATCCCATGGGGACCAGGTGACAGTGCTGAGGTTTGGCAGGGACACAAACACTACCCTGAGTGGCAGGGATTCAGGCTTGAGCATTGGACGGACCTCAGTTGAAATCCCTACTCCACCGCTCACTAGCTGTGGGACCGTAAGCAAATTATTGAAGCTTTGTGGGCCTCAGTTCCCCTGCCTGTAAAATGGGGTAGTGGGGCCCAGGCCAGGCAGTTTACTACCAAGTGGTTAACACTAACTGGCTGCTTTTGCTACTATTCATTTCTAACGTGGATGGGTCCAGGCCAAAGACGGGGAGGCACTGTAAAGGAGAGACACTCAGTGCCAGGTGTCCAACAATGGAGCTCTGCTGCCTGGGGCCTGGGAGGTGAGCAGTGGCCCTGGCCCAGGGCTGTCCTATTGGCTCAAGCTCTGTGGCGGCATGCCCCCCACACACACACACACTGCATGCAGGCGGGCTCTAGGTCACCTCCTGGGCCCTTCCCACCTCTGAGAGTGATGAGAGCCACTGTGATACCAATGCCAACTATGCTGATGCTAACTGCCACCCGATGAGGGGGCTTATCTCTGGAGCCCAGGGGCAGGGGTGGGAGGTCCTAGCAGAATGTCTGTATTTGGCCTCCATGAGGTGCAGAGATGCTGAGCGTGGGCCTGGGGGTGGAAGAAGCACATCCCGGGTGGGCATGCTGTAGGCATCCTGGCTGTAGGTTTAGCGGGTCTGGGCTGGTGACTGAGCCCGCTCCCTAGGTCAGCCAGGCGCGCCCCGTGGTGGCCTCCGCTCCCGCCATCTCTGAGGGAGAGGAGCACACTCTGATGGGGCTGCTGGGAAGGTCTAAGGGCAGCAAAGGGAAGGCAAAGGCAGCAGTGGGGCTACAGGAGGCAGGACTGGGGGCAGAGCTGGGAGGGACAGACCTGCAGGGCAAGTCGGAAGCCAGTCTTCTTGTCCTGGATGCAGCCCATGAGCAGGAAGTTGAAGGTCTCCTCTGTGACCGCATGACCTTTATGGACGATTTCCTGGGGGATAAAGTGGAGGCCGAACCTGGGGTGACGCAAGCAGATATTCCGGGGAGGAACCAAGGTTGTATGTGTGGAAGCTTTGGTGCTGGATTCCTGTGTTGGGGCGGCTGGGAACCACCTCAGACAGCCCAACTGCTGCTGCCCCATGTCCCTCCTCTGTGGGCTGCTTCTCCCCACTCCGCTCGGGGTCTGAGAGTGTCTCCACAAAGACTCCCAGCAGACCTCTCAGCCTGTCCTCAAGGCACTCCATCCCAGCCTCACCACCAGCCAGTGTCTCGGGTCTTAGTCTCATCTGAGGAGTGAGGTCACAGTTAGGACTTGCCTTGGGGGATCTTTGGAACAGCTCCATGGATGCCAAGGGGCTGCACACAGCAAGAGCTTGTAACGTGAGTGACCCGGCCTTGCTCAGGGTATTAGGGTCGGCTGCTGCCTTCTTGAGGCACTGGTCCTGCATCACGTTATCCCACCTCATCTTCCACCTACCAGGCCCCTCACAGGCGTCTCCTCAAGCCCCCTCCTGTCCTCATCAGCATGTGTGCCCCCCGCCTCGGGGCCTCCACCTGTCACCAGCTCTCCTGCCTCAGTGAGATTTGGCCGAGGCTCGCACTCCCTGGACACCACAGCTGTTTCCAACTGTCCCTCTCCCACCCCTCCCCCACCCCAGTCAGAGTGGCCTGCCAGAAACACCCATGAACAGCCCTGGACAGTGCCAGCTACCCTGCCCTCTTCTGGAAGTCTCCGGCACCTGCCTTGCCCACAGCACTCTTGGGAGCTGACTGGATGGGCAGTCAATCTGGCGACTAGAATCGACGGGGGGGGTGCCTGAGGAAAAATGTAACGCCTAGGCCACCCAGCACCTCCTTGGCCTGACCCTGCCCTAGTCCCTGAGGTCCTGCAGTGGGGCTGAGAGCCTTCCTTGCTTCCTTACAATAAACCTTCCTTTCTCTTTCTTGGAATCTGAAAAAGCAGACTTGATGCCCCACTTTCAGTGTTCCCTGCTCAAAACCCTTCATGGTCTCCCTCTTGATGAGCTAGGGATAAAACCCATGCCCTAGGGTGGCCAGGGGAATAGATGAGGATTTGGGCCAGCAGCCTGACACCCAGGACCTTCTGGACCGGGACCTGCTCTGCACTCCTGTCTTCATGCACCCATCCCCCTCATGCATGATACCACCAGCCTGGGCTCTGTGGTTTCCTGAACACTAGGGTCTTGCACCTGCCGCTCTTTTCCAGCGGGGGCCCTGCCTGGAGCTTCCCTGCTGGGTAGCACTGCCAGGCCCCACACAGTCTCCTTGGGCAGCACATACAACTCGCTGCCCTCAGACATCAGGGGCCTGCCAGCCAGGGCCTCAGGGCAGGCATCCTGACAGTTATCTGGGAGCTCAGGGCCTCCAGGGCTGAACCTTCTTGTGTGAGGGAAGATGGGAGGCCACACCTCGCACTTGCCAGAGGACACTACTCAGAACTGGCTGAGGAGGGAAGGGTGCGCACCTTCAACACATCCAGGCACATCCTGAGGTCTGCGCACAGGGCAGCTGTCTTCAGCAGGGCATGGTATGTCTTGAGGTTGAGCTGGAAGTTTCTGGCCCGGAGCTGCTGCCGGAGTTTCAGGGCACTCTGCAGAGCAGAGCCTTTCCAGGGTGACTGGGCACACACGTTGAACAGGGCTGTGTACGTGGCATCTGACGGCTCCAGGTCCCGCTTCTTCATCTGTTTCAGATGGGGCAAAATCAGAGGCAGCTCCAGGATTGGCCCAGAGCAGGAGCAAGCAAAGGGAACAGTGGTGAGTCCGTCTGTCTGTCCATCGCTGCATTCAAGTCCGGGACAGGGCACAGCTGACCCAGGGGCAGTGAGACGGTATAGTTTGGGCTTCCCAAACCCAACTGAAAGAGAGACCCTGAAAACGGACTCCACACCCTCAAAAAGACCTCATTCAGTCGTCCTGAGATCCCTACCAGTTTCCAGATGGTGAAACCAAGGCCAGGGAGGTGAAATGGCCTGCCGGGCAGTGCCCTAGCAACCTGCAGCTGGCGCCTCCTGACCGCGGGGCCCGGCTCTCCCGCCCGTGCCCACGCCCTCACTCACGTCATTGTAGAGCCGGAAGGCCTTCTTCAGGTAGCCCGCCCGCCCGCAGCCCCCGATCAGCACCGTGTAGTTGCACTCCAGTGGCCGCAGTCGTTCTTCCTTGAGCATCTGCCTCTCAAAGAGGTCCAGGGCCTCTGCCAGCTGGGGGGAGGTGGGGAGGGGCTCAGGACAGCCACGAGGGTCCTCCCAGCCCAGCAGCAAACACCCACTCTGGGTCTCTGCCTCTCTCTCCCTCAGGCTCCACATCACAGGAGCCTCTTGGTGACAAGGAGGGAAGCAAGTGTCCCCCTGGACACCCACCACCTCTGCCAGGACTTTATCCCGTTTCTTTCCAGTGAGACTGAGACCTCCCTGAAGGCAAGGACAGAGCCTTTTCCATCTGTGTCCCCAGAGTGGAGCCAAGGCCTGGCACTTAGTAAGTGCACAGAAAATGGGAATGCCAGCACCACCTTGCTCCTGCATCCTTTCATTTTCATTCTTGGGAACCCCCTCTTTTGTGGCAGGCCCCCGGGTTTCAGCTGGATGGGAGGCCAGGTTCTAGCCAGCTGGCTGGGTATACTCAGAACTACGGCATCCACAACTCCAGGGGGCCATTCACAGGCTCCCTAACGGCCCCTCATGTGGGTGCAGGACAGCAGGGGTGGGTGAACAGGCTTCCTCTGACTACAGCCCCTCTGGGTCCACAGCTTGGCTCTGCCACAGCCCCTCACAAAACACTGAGCAACCAGGGAAGGTGAAACCGCCAGCAGAACCTGAGGCTCCTCACCTTCCCCTCCTTGATCAGGCGTTTGCACTGAAAGAAGTACCAATAAGGGGTGTTTCTTGGGCCCTGCCATGATTTGGGCTCCAATTCCATTTCCTCATCTTCCTCCACGGTCTGTTCCCTGAGTCGTAGGTTATACAACTGGGCCGTCGATTTCCGGAACATCCTCCGGGAAGAGTATTTATTGGAGAGGGTCCCAAAGCTCTCCTCCTCATCCTCATCCAGCATGGCCTCTGCTGTCGAGCTGAGCTGGCTCCGGTCAGAGTCAAGGCTACCCGTGTCCTTCTGGGTCCCCTGGCCAGGGGCCAGCTGAGAAAAGAAACTGCTGAAGGTTGCTGGAGCTGGCTGAGTAAGGCTTGTAGTCCGCAGCCTTGTGGGCTCCTCTCTGCCTCCTGCCCAACCAGCTCTGGGTGGGCAGAGGTGTTGGAGGATGGACAGTCCCATGGGGCGGGGGCTGAAGAGCCGGGTAAGTCTCACAAGGTCCATCTCTGGCCTTCCTCTCCTTCCCCAGCCTGGAATAAGTCGGAAAAAAAAAAAAAGTGAAGTCAACTTGGATTCATAGTTGTCACAAAAGCCGGAAAGAAGAGGGAGAAGTAGTTATAAGTGTGGGCCCTGAGGCTAAACACCCTCAGTTCAGATTTCAGCTTTGCCACACAACTGCCCCGCTGTCCCTGGCCTCAGCCTCCTTGCCAATCAAATGGGCTTACCAGCGTTTCCACACAACACTGTAACAACAAACAGATGAGGTTTCTCCTAGCCAGCATGCAGCACAGAGCTGGTGCAGGGAGCACTCCGAGGACAGAAGCAACTCTCACCACTAACTGCTGTCGAGCTGATTCCGACTCATGGCGAGCCCATGTGTGTCACAGCACAACTGTGATCTGTAGGGTTTTCGATGGCCTGACCCTTTGGAAGGAGAGCACTACATCTTTCTTCTAAGGCACCTCTGGGTGAATTCGAGCCCCAACCTTTCAGTTAGCAGCCAAGCGTGTTAACTGTTTATACCACATGGGAACTTATTTGGTTGTTCAAATTGTGCCAGCTTTGGCCACTGGGAGAACACAGTACTACTCTGACACTTACGAGGGCTACCACGAAATGGAATCAGCTAGGTGGCAACTGGTTTATGACTCTGATGATTGGGTCCGGATCATCAGCATGCACCGAAGCCAGAACCTTACCTGACCTTCCTGAGCCTTGATTTCTTCAGCTCCTCTGAGTATCACTTGGTGGTCTTAATTCAGCATCTGATGAGATCAGTTAAAATAATGTTACATAAACATGTGTATTAATTCACATAGTACCAATTAAAATACATAGAATTAAAAGCAATCTACCAAAGATGTTTTTAAAACAGTTATTCACATCATATTGTACTGTACAAATCTGCTGCAAAAGTCATCTTTAAAGTATTAAGAAGCAAAAATGTCACTCCGAAGACTAAGGTGTGCCTGACCCAAGCCACGGGTATTTTCAATTGCCTCATATGGATGTAAAAGCTGGGCAATAAGTAAGGAAGACCAAGAAGAGTTGATGCCTTTGAATTACAGTGTTGGTGAAGAATACTGAAAATACCAGAAGAATGAACAAATCTGTCCTGGAACAAGTACAGCCAGAATGCTCCTTGGAAGTAAGAATGGCCAGACTTCGTCTCACCTACTTTGGTCATATTGTGAAAAGGGACCCTAATCCTGGAGAAGGCTATCATGCTTGATAAAGTAGAGGGTCAGCAAAAAAGGAAAAGACCTTCAACGAGACGAGACGGATTGACACAGTGGCTGCAGCAATATGCTCGCTCAAGGATAGCAAGGATTGTGTGAGCTGGGTACAGGGCTGGACAGTGTTTCACTCTGTTGTACACAGGGTCGCTATGAGATGGAGCCAACTGGACTGCACCGAACAACATGAATATAACTGTTAGCTCAAGATAGCACCATGTGGTGGTTACAGATGTCTCAAGAATGATTTACACTCATTAAAAAAAAAAATAGAGAGAGAAACCTCATTGCCATCAAGTCGATTTGACTTACAGCAGCCCCTCCTTGGGTTTCCGAGGCAATATCACTGCAGAAGTAGATTGCCCAACCTTCCTTCCACGGAGTGGCCCGTGGGTTTGAACCGCCAGCCCTCCGCTTAGCAGTCAGATGCTTTAGGCACGAGGCCACCAGGACTCCCTGACACTCAGTACCTCTGAAATGACAAAATCTCAGGCCCTGCTGATGGTATGGGAGCTCTGGTAGCATAGTGGCTAAGACACTTGCCTGCTAACCAGACGGCTGGCGGTTCAAACCCACCAGCCACTCCTCGTAAGGAAGATTGGGCAATCCTACTTCCCTAGTGATACTGCCTCGGAAACCCAAGGAGCGGTCGCTAGGAGTCGGGTTTGACTCGACGGCACATAACAACAACAACAACAACCTTCTCGGACGCCCTGAGGCGCACCCCCCCACACCGGTCCGGTCCGGTTCCCTGGCATCTCCTGCCTGATTCCGCCTCCTGTAGCCCCCACCTCACCTAGGTCTCTGTCCCAGAGCAGCAAACCCCGGCCGGGCCTCGCGCAGGCGCGGTCGGCGCCGCGAACTCCGCGTGGTTGTAGATTCTCAGTGGCTGTGAACCAAGGCAGCTACTCGGCTGGCGACTAACCGGGCCTAGAGGAGCGTCTCCTATTCCGTGCTCGATTGGCCCAGTCTGAACATGCGAAACGCCGGCGCGGGCTGCTGTGTTCCCGGCATGCCTCGGGCGGCGGCGGCGGCGGCGGCGGCGGTGCGGGAACGTGTGTGGTGAGTCCACGACGGGTAGGGGTGTGAGTGGCCGGATAGTTGAGAGGGAGCCGGGCCGGCAGGCCGCCGCCGCCATGCAGGAAATCATCGCCAGCGTGGACCACATCAAGTTCGATTTGGAGATCGCGGTGGAGCAGCAGCTCGGGGCGCAGCCGCTGCCCTTCCCCGGCATGGACAGTAAGCGCGGGGCCGGGGCCGACGGGCGGGACCACCTATATGACCCAGGACCCATCCACTAGGACCCCAGGTCCCTTCTCCCTTTGTCTCGGGATTCTTCTCTTTGATCTCGGGGCTCTTTACTCTTCCTTACCCTCTGTCTCGTCAGAGAGCTCCCTCTCTCTCTGTCCCGGGACCCCCTTTTTTCCCTGGGCCTGGGACCCACAACTCCCTTCGGTCCTGTGAACCATTTTTCCCTCGGCCCCTGGCCTCCTTTCCCCCTTGGGTCTGGGGACTCTCTTTCCTCTCCCACTTGGACCCGGGAGCCCACCTCCTCGGGATCTTGTATCGTCTGGGGCTGTAATCTTCAGGAGGGCAGGACTCTGGCTGCTTGTGCAAATAATTGTTGACCGGAGACAGGTTCTCCTGCCTTGGGAATATCCTCAACGTTCCTTCAATGACTGGAAAGTGCCAGGAGACCGACCACCGCCTTCCCTAGGGCCCCCACCTCCTGTTGAGTGCTCCTGTGTTGTTTTCATCATTGAACATTTGGAGGCTGTTACCTGGGAAAGCCCCTAAACCAGACTCCAGGCCTCCTGATCTTACTCCCCAGAAGCCATCCCTAGTTCTGGGCTTGCCCCACACCTTTTGTCTGGAACTCCAACTCTGGGTCTGTCATCGCACATAGGCCTCTAGTGTGGACCCTTGGGGTGGCCAGTCTGACCTTCCTTCACGCTCCCCCTCCCCATAGCGATGCCTGGCTCTCCAGTGCTCCCCACACACCAACTCAGGTAGGATAGCTTGTACTTCTAAAGAAACTGCGCTTTTCTTCCTCTGCCCCTTTCTGGACATGCTTGAAATCTAACCATAGCTCAGAGGGCTCTTGGTGGTTACTGAGTTCAGTCCACAGATGGGGAAACTGAGACTTGGCTGGGGGAGGGGACTTGCCCAAGAGTGCCCAGTGCGTGGCAGAGCCAGGGCAGGGCTCCAGTGTTCCTGACTCTGGTTGTGATGGTGTGCCGCCTGTTACAGGCCCCTCCGAATGCCCAGCGAGGCCACAGCCCCTCCACTGCCCATGCCTGCACTTCATTCCCCCCTCAGACTGGGGAAGAGCTGTCAGCTGTGCACTCAGGCATGACCTCATCTGCTGTCTACCTGAGACTCAGTCCTAGGAGCAGATTTCTGGCTTCAGGGATGAATGAAACACCCTTAACTTCTGAAAAGAACAAAGGCCTACAAATACTCCTAAATGATGCGTTCTTAATGTCACAGTCTTCCAACGGGTTTCTGAGTCACAAAGTGACTTCTGGAGTCCCAGTTTCTACAGTGTTAGATCTGTGCTAGCAAATTCTGTCTGTCCTGGAGAAGCCAAGGAGGCAGTGGCAGGTTACCAAGGAAAAGATGGAAGTGGGCTTCAGAGGTGCCGTCGGTGGGTGTCCCTTCAATTCTGTAATGCCTACAGAGAGAGACAACTGTTTATGGAGCCAAAAACCAATCCAGTTGCTGTCATGTTGACCCAGCTCACGGAGACCCCATATGTGTCTGTGTAGAGTTGTGCTCCACGGGTGTTCAATGGCTGAGTCACCTCTGAGTAGACTTGAACCTCCAACCTTTCAGTTAGCGGCCAAGGGCATTAACCGTTTGCACCATCCAGGGACTCCTGTTTGTGCAGCCAGGGGTGGTTTACTCTGGCAGCCATGGCTGGTGGATTCCTGGCTCATCAGGATGGCGTGACTGCAGGAGTCACTGCCTTTCCTCACACCTGCCTGTGTTCTCTTGCTCTCTCACCTGAACCGGTTACATCTACGACAGTGAAGGGCAGCGCTTCTTTAATAATTTTATCTTCATATTGCACGTTAAAAGCAATCCCGCTTTTGTGACTTCACTGTGCCTTTCCTCTGGAATATTGTCCTAGGGCACCCATCTCTTCTGGTACCTTCCCTCCTCCGAGTCCCCATTCACTGGCTTGTACTTCCTGTGAGACCTTTCTGTCACTTGGCCTCACATTAACGTGCCTTTGAATTAACCCTTCTGGAAGGTAGAAGCTGGGAGTAATTAACTTCTGTGATCTTGTTCTCTCTCCTTCCTCCCTCACCCACTCAGAACTCCTTGAAATCAGCTTGCTTGTAGTGGGCACTTAAAGCACCACGTGAATGACTGGTCTCAGTGTGGGGAAGGACTGAAATAACGGCTTTTTCCAGACTTGATCAGGCTTTGTGTTTTTCTGTGACTCTGTCCTGCACCCTGAAGTCTTCGCTGGTTGCGAGCCTGAAAGCTTCCCCTATCGTGTTCAAACATGACCAAGAGCAATCGTACCCAGCTTTGTTTGATGTTTTTCCTTTTCTCTCTACAGAGTCGGGGGCTGCTGTCTGCGAGTTCTTCTTGAAAGCTGCCTGCAGCAAAGGTAAGAGAGATCCCAGCTCCTTGTCGATCCTTCAGCAGCCCTCCCGCCCGCCTTGCCCTTGCAGACTTGCAGGCCATCAAGTCTCTTGGTGCCACTGCTTTCTGTACACTAGCACTGCCTCTAAGTGAAGGTGGGTTTTCAATAGGCTAAGA